GGTCAGTAAATATGGCAAGTTTAAAGTGCTGGGGAATGTCATTGTGCTCTAGAACCTGTCAAAAAATAGGAATTTAATCAGCGTGTCTTTTTCAGTTCTTGAAAATATCTTAGCTTTCTTATGTTTATCGTTATCTAGCTTACTCAGTTAAGGCTTCCAATGATTGTGAACCCTGGGATTTTAGTTACTTCATTAGTTGAGGCCTTATCCTTATGATTTCCACTGAAAAATGGAATGACCAATACTTCAGACCAATCTGATGGGACTATCTTTCATTACTATACAATTGCTGCCCTAATCGATAAGTCTGAACTGACTTTTGGAGACAAACAGGCAGGTCGTGCTGGTACTGTTCAACTCAGCACTGAAACAGGCAACTCATTTTTGAAGGGAACCAGAAACTATTATTTATTTGTACTTTGTATAAGACCCAGTGTTACTGAAGCTGGGTTTGGTATCAGCTGAACTACTCTTAAAGAAGTTGAAAATAGAGACCACTGGATTCCGACCCGGTGGCTCAGTGGTAACGTGCTAGCCACGGGAACTGAAGGTCACAGGTCCTATTCCTTATGGGGTCGCGGATGCGGACTGCTGAGCAGTCCCATACTAGGACGAAACAGCTGTCCAGTGCTCCCAGGTTTCTATTGTTCCTCCACATGATGTCAGTCTACGATGAATACCAACTTCAAACACTTCTTACAGACTTTACACCAACATTCCAGTCACTTTTCCTAAGAGTGCACGAAGAGGCTTTCTTTGTTAGTCATTTTCTCACTAAAGGTCAATACTTTTAGACTAGTTTACACAAACGCCAAGTTCATTTTTGGTAAGGCTGCTTAATCTTCTCATAATGATTTCAGTCATTTTCAGTGTGTGTTCTAAGCTTAGATGAAAAACAGGCAATATAAAAATATGACCTGATGTTACTACCTAACGATTCAGATCGTCACATGTCACATCAGCACATCAAGCATGAATGTATAAAGATGAAAGATACAGGTGTAAAGAAAGAAGCCAAAGTGGTAGGAGGGGTATAAAGAGATCAAGAAGGAATGACAGAACACTAAAATCCGCTTAAGATGATTATAAAGTGTTGATACATTTGTGAAAATAAGATCGATTCTGAACCACATCACTTAGAGTCTCCAACCACTGATTTTGATTGTAACGAGGACTTTAAACTGGGAGACTACATTTCTCTATATGACTTAGTTAAGCAGTTAAAAGTTGCATACGCTGATGCCACGTTTTTAGTCTGGCTGCCTCCAATACAATTTCAGCCTTAACTTACTTCAGTTAACATTGGGTCATAGAGAAAGTGGCAGCTAGACATAAATAACGCATTTCCCAGTCACCTAAGCACAGGAAGGTTCACAACTTTTCAGCCAGCTTTCCCCTTCTGACTACAGCTGTACGCCGGACTTGTACGTTTCTGATACGATGATTACACGAAAGACTACCTATTCTGTGAAGACAACGGTAGCCAAATACGTACACCCTTCTCGTGTCCTCTACTTTTAACGGCCATATTTAGCGATCATATAGTAAGACAAAGCTTACTGCAACGCAGCACAGTCCGTTCAAAATAGGCAATTGAATATCACGGCGGCGCCATAGATGGTTCAGATTGGTGATAGCCAAAGGATCCTTTCGCGTTCCTGAAGAGATTTTGTCGGTCACTGACTCACCAGGGCTGATCCAACTTCCTAGATAAGTGAAGCGGCCAGTGCACTCAACCATTTCACTCCCTATCGTTCAGAACTGCAACATAGATCATTTCTGGAATATTAGTTAGTATCTTGGTGGTGAGAAACCCATCACAAATGTACTTCAAATGTCACCCCAGGTGTCCAGAAAACTCTACATAATGTCAACATCTTCAATGAACATGGCTATGGTATCTTTTGCTCTAAGTCTGACAAGATTCTCTGGCGATTAAATCAATTTCTGTGAAGTCAGACAAAAAGGAAAGGGAGACTCCCATAAGTACATTTGCAATGAAGTGGAATAAGAATGAAGAGAGTGGAATTCCTGGCCGGACACTATTCGACAAACACAACTCACCACTGATTCTTAAACGCCCATCAGTGTTCGAGTATAGAGCTTTCAAATAGGCGATGTACTTACTTAGCACCCATTTCATTAAGAGACATCACCATAAGGCCTCTCAATCGACGAAGTCGATAGCCATCGAGACATTCAGCTGATGTTAGGTGCCCATGTTGCAGAACCTGATGAAGAGTGAATACTTAGTCAATATACTCACAAGCAGCTTTAAAACCTCCCGAGTTTTCTCGAGTTTGCTTTTCCTGAGCTCCATTTAGACACTTAATAATCACAGAACCTACAACCTTAGACACTATGTTCATCAAGCTGATTCCCCTGTAATTATCATACGAGGACTTCTCACCTTTTTTGAGGACTGAGACAACCAGTGCTTGAGACCTGTCGAAGAAAAGATATCTGACTCCTATGCACTAGTTAACACGTCAGTTAGCCTAACCAACAATCCACAACCAATGTCCTTAAATATCTCAGATGATGTTCGTTATGATCTTGTTGTTGCTTCTTGTTTATAGCTACTTGTGGCCTTTTCAACATCTGCAAGAGCTGTAGGCCCTTTGTCAATACTCTCTTCAGGATCTGACTGGATAGCAGGAAACAAAATAGTAGCTGGAGGCTAGCAGAACAGTTTCTCAAAGTGTTCCATTCGTGATTCCAGTTACCTTCCCTGTTAGTAATTTGCAGACCTATCACCCTTCGTTACTGTATCGTTTACCATTGATCATTTTATGCCAGTTTCCTTGGCAAGTCTAACTAGCTGTCTTCTGTTACTTATCCCCATCACCTTTTCCTCCCCTTTAGCTTTCTTTACTCACCACTACTCGTGGTTATTGTGAAGACTCCTAATCAGTCTACATTTCAGTCGTTTCCGCTCCATAATGTGGTTGGAGCTTCTAGGAATGCGTTTGAGTGCAACCATTAATTTAAAAAAGTTGCTGAGATCCACCGGTTCAATCTATTCTTATTTCTGAAAGGATTGTCATGATCTCCAATGGTGTTTTTACAGCACACCGGAGTTGGCGTCAGGCGTTTTCTGAATAGGTGATATTGTTCTGTTTCGATAACTGTCTAGCTGATTTCTAGCTAACGGGTCTTCAGAGACCCATTGATGTCTACTAACCTGTAGTTGTAATTTGCTAGCTACCTTTAAGGTTTTTTCTAAAACCCTGTGATTGTCGCAAACTTAATCAAGCTGAGAATTAATGTTATGTTCTGACAAGTGCTTCGCTACTTTCTCCCTGAATTCAACCTTGGTATTCTTATGTTTCACATGATCACCGCAGAGCGGACTAACCCATTCAGGTGGTTATATACATGTTTTAGGGAAACCTATAACTGGATTTTAAACGGATACTGCAAGAAGAATGATAATCCCATAAGAGTCTTCTGTGACGTGATCCGTGTCCATCATTAGTTTGCTATTACAGGACATAGACTGAAAAAACTCTTCGTACATTGAAGGAACGTGGTAAGTGGAATCAAGAGAAGATCGTCATTGTTAATTGGTTAGCATAGACTGCAACAATAAGCCATTGTGATCGGCCCAGTCTTTTCACTTGAGCTTTGGAGTCACTCACTGACAGAACTGAATTTGGAAATTTTGCCTTTCATGGAGAAAGTGTTAGCTTCGGAAGGAATCCTTCCTCCTAATCAACCAAACGTTGTTTAGTAAGTTTGAAGGAGAAGACTAGAAATTAGCATTAACAAATGTCACTTTCTTTTCCAGTCTTCACAAATTCTTTCGGTCGGAAAGCACATGGCCTACTATCAAGTGGTATCTGGTAAAAAAATTCAGCTTTATTCTGTGAAACTTAATGTTTTCATTACATAAGCCAGTCTATAAGGAGTAGCCATGTTACTGACTATATCAATCTACCAACCTAGTTAAGTGAGGTCAAGTAAGTAAGCACATATAAGTCTTATATTTACGCTTTGTAGACTGCATACAGATATGGTGAAGAATTTTCGAGTTTTGGATAGTGATATCTGTAATTCAGTTGGACACAAGCTTCAGATATTAGAAGCTTGAAGATGATGATAGAAGAATAGTTCCAGGGTAATAAAAATTAGTGAACGTGCATGATAAAAAGCTAAGAAAACTGGTGGCATGAATTCGTTTGTGAAATTAAGATTAGAGATGATGAGACAAGTATTTTTCTGCTACTAGAATCGTGTAAGTCCCTGGTACTTCTTGGATGTCCACACTACTTCAGCTACCACTGAATTCATAAACATAACCGAATGTAGCTTTTATGATATTTGTAACTTCTCGTTGCTATACGGTGGGCGAACTACTCGACATCTGTTGTCAGATAGGCTCCTATGTGTGGATGCCTCGATACTGTCGGATATTACTGATGTTACAGTGACCTTGGTAACAGAAGTCGAGGAATTTGCCCAGTAAAGCGACGGGAAATTACAAATATCGTACAAAAGGTGGCTATCGTGCCCCAGCGGTCTAGTGGAAAACACCTTGGCGTCTGAAACGATCAATTCTGGATCCGAATCCCAGTAGGAAAAACATCACTCTCTGAGATGTAAGTACACCTAGCTGACAAGTGGACGTCCTGGATTCCTCTACTAGTTACCAAAATCAGTGTAACCTAATATAATTAATCCTTAGCATTATTTTGATTTCAGTTTTCACTGAAAGGCCAAGAAAGTTACGTTTTTTCATACTTTGAGTTGTTTTCTTATCAAGAGCTTTATAAACTTGATAGAATTAATGCTACCTACTTCTTTCGTCGTCAGTCTTTAGATCAAGACCGTTATCTCATCATTTCAAGCCTTTTAAAGATAATGAATCTCATAAGATACTGTGATCTTTGTTAACCAAGTGGGTTTTTTGCAAAAAAAACTTCATTAATCAGTAAATTCGATTTCAGTTGAGTTGTATAACCGTGAGACATGTGTATAGCATTATCCAAAATACATTTCTGGTCAAATGGCTTCTATTTATTTTAACTGATAATGAGAATATATATAGAGATACAAAGAATATTTTTCCCGAAGAACGGACTAAGTTTATTGATACAGACACATCTTTTTTACATCAGTTTATTCATGAGATAATATGCGACAGACACAAAGAGATAGGGAACTGTAGATATTGACAGAACAGTGCGCTGATCTACATCTATACACCCTACATTTAATGGATATCTGAAGTAAGTGAATATTAAATTTTTAACCATTGAAATTAATATATGCGATAACAGTTCTTGAACATCAAGTGTATTACTGTATAGCTGGAATAGTCACAGATCAGTATATTATAAAATGAATGAATTAATGAATTAAGTTGCACAATCCATACTGGAATTCTTCTTGACGAATAATCTTGACTCTGAATGCGTAAAATACCCGGTTAGTGAAATTTACATCTAATATAAGAGTAAAACTTGTGCACTGTGGTAGAATGTAATTCCATTTTTATTGATTTAATAGATTTATCATACAGTACAGCAGCATTGTTTACTGGATTACGTTTCGGACATAATTTATTATCCATAATCATATCAAGATAACTACACAACTTTGAGATATCCTTTATGTAGTCCTAATTTTCTCGCCGTCTTTATGATATAGGTAGTAAGATTTTCCATATGTGCGGAACAGGTGCTGAGTCAACCCTGTTGCATGTGTTATGTGTTGATTTGATAAACAAAGATTCATTTATCAATCTCTCCCTCCACTCTGTTATGTTAGTTCGAAGAATTTTCACCCTGTCCCATCCATTCTATTGGGTAGTTGTGTATAATCGTATGCATAGCTATGGCTGAGTTTTTTCTAAATTCCTTACCTTACTAAAATCTACCAATTTTGACGTAGCTAGGTTTTTGTGTTCGAATGGCCTAATTGACCCTAGTCGACTATTTTGACCTCGCAATCGTTGCAGGGGACTTGGTAAATTAAGTTATTCTGTTTAATTGGGTCAATAGGATCTTTTAACCTCCAAAGCTTATTTCGAAGTGAGTTTGTAGGTTTAAAGCTACAATCCCACTCTAATCCCAGCCTTATTGAGAATTCTACGTAGTATTTCTGAGGTGCCTTCTTTGTATGGTAATACTGTGGAGGTTTTGAATTCTCTATTCACAGTACTGCCGCTACTTTTATTAACATCATTATCAACACTATTATTACTACTGTTGTTACTGTTATTACCACTATTATTACTACTATTAATAACTGTGTTACTGATATTTTTCTTACGATTTCTAACTACTTGTGTTTTGAGTAGTATATGAAGTGGATTCTCATCATTTTAATTCTAAAATTGATTAAGTACAAAGATATGCTTCAATATTCTTGTAACCATTTGATATATGTATGTTTTCCAATATGAAATATTTTATTTAATTGTAGAGTCTGATTTGACTTTAATTAAAATACATATTCGATAGTTGATGATCTTTACTGGATGATTTTCAGTACAGATCATGTCAACGCAATAACCAAGCATCTAATACAAATTAGTTGACTTTCATAAATATTATCAAGAACTGTTTAATTTGCAGAAAAGTGAAAACTGGCCTGTTTTTAACTGGAAAATATTTCTTACAAATACTTCAATAATTTCAGTATCCTATAAAGAAGAATGTAGAAACCAGGTTTTAAATTTATATACTTGTCGTCATATGATTTTGAGCTGAAAGTCATGTCAATAGTTTAGACGGCAAATGGTTATAGCAACAGTGTTCACTACACGGTATGAACAGATCATCATAGTCTTTAGGTTGCACTTCAATATTTTTTATCCTTCAGAATTATTCCTTGAAGTAGTTTTTACACAATGTATACAAAGACCTATACAATGTTGACGTAAAAAAATATTTTACTAACTTTATAGCACTACGTTCAGTATACTTCTCTTCCGTAGATAGAATAGGCTGAATTTCAACAGTGCACGATGTATCTGATAATAATTCATGTAACTGCATTCTAGCATGTTTAGTTAACAATGTTATGTGTGGTATTTCTTCTAGTTTCTTTTCAGTTGGAGATAAATTAGACTCGCGTTGTAAATTACAAGGAAAATCAAAATTTGTTTCTGTCAATGTATAGATTTGATCTTTGTCAGTTGTCATCAGATCTGGAGACGATAAACTACCCGGTTTAACTTCTTTCTCCTTAAAACGAATACAATTTGTGTAGGCATCGAATTGACTCACTGGTTTCATTTGTATATCGCCTTCAAATCGTAATTCTAAGCATAAACCATTGAACATTAACACGTGATTTATGTCGTGTCCAGTTACACGATAACGCCTCTCCTTTTAAAGAAAAATAGAAGTATACTTTTGAGAATATCAATTAAAAACTATTTAAAACAATATACATAGTCTTAAATAAATCAAATAACCATATAGTTGATGGGTAGTGGCTAGCAGTGAAATTCAGGTCGTGCGTTTCGTTCTACTTTGGACTCGATGACTGGATATGTCTGCCTGTCAGTGAGCGATGTTGTTTCCACCACGACTCGAACCTGAGACCGATCGCTTAAAACTCCAAGTAGTTATCTCCTCGGTAGAAGCACCACAGTTTAAGGTTGTAGTTATCATTATTTTGCTATAATCCCTACGAACAATATTGAATACTCAATAAATTTTTTTTCTGGATTTAGGCGCTTCGTACGTCTTTTCGCTGAGGTCTGATAATCGCTATTGTAGAATTAACCAAACATCATAGTGGCTCCAACAAAATATATTAACTGTCTGTTGATTTATGTTTGTTATTTTCTATTTAAAATATTCTTGAGAACGAAACCCCACCTCTTAATATAGTATGAACTTACATGAACGAAAATGATCAAATGTTAATCAGACACATTCATCGAATGATGAAAACAAGTGGTCACGACATATAACGAATTCACAGAAGTAGAAAATGGGACCATTGGATTCTTACCCAGTAGTTAGATTGTATCATACTGTCTGCGAACGCTGGTATTATTGGGTTCCATCCTTTGTAGGAGAGTGGATGTGCACCACGGTGGAGACTTGAACTAGCACAGAGAAGCTGTCCAACTCCTCCATATTTTTAGTCTTCCCTAAAAATAAATAATAACATTTTATGCACTAATTCACTTCAGTGGCCTAATGGGTAGCTCTGTAGCGTCTGAAGTGATCGGCCGTGAGTTCGAGCCCCAGTATGAAAAAATGCTTACTGAGAGGCAGGTATATCTAGGTGACAGGTCTCGAACAGGAAGAATCCACTGCTAGCGATTATCCATAATTACTACCTATTTCATTTGTGTTATAGGATATTTTGCTTTCTTGTTGTGAGCGTATGCTGTGTGTAGGGTATTAAACATTATTACATCCGCCTCTAAGACAAATTCTGTTGTCTCATTTCAAATAGGTATGAACAAAATTCAACCTAACGGTTGTTAATTATTACTTAGCGCAGATTTATTTAGTTAGAAGTTGGTAATACACTGAACCGGTAATCTGCAGTCTCGAAATGATTCATCTCCCCTACACTTCCATTCATCTTCTATACACTCAGCAGTCATTCCTGATTTCATTGATTGAAATAGCAAGTACATATGTAAATAAGAAACCTCTGTTTAATTATTTCTGTTTTCCAGTGGTTCTTTAATGCACGCAACACTATTCTTTGCGAAGTAGAATATTGAAAAGAGTAATTATTTCCAAGGAAGTCTATCAGATAGCAGTAGAACTTCTTCCCGTATTTTTTTTTTCGATGACATTATCAAAAATGACAATGTAAGCTTCACGATCAAATCATCCAGCTCAAGGAATACAACACCATCAAAGTTATTACTACTTTTATTACTAGAAGGTTCATTTAAACTTTAATTAGTATTAGGCTGACTGTAGTATTAGTACTGAAGAGACTAGATAATTTCAAACTACACGAATAATATTTCTCATGAATACCTCAGTAAATGTCACCTTCAATGTCACAGTAATCAACAGACTAATTGCTTTTAGCCTTTTGTTTTATGTGCTCTCAAGAATGGATTTATGGGAAGGGTGGTCGACTGGCGCATTCGATGATTATATCATTATCATTATTTCTAATCATAACATTCAGTACTCTTGATCATAGAAGATAACCACTTCACACAAAGGTTGTAATCGCTTTTTCCACTTCTTGGATTCTCCTTACTTACACCATAAATTGAGGTCAGGTTGGTATTTTGAAGTATTCATATAACTGTTTGATATTCAATCACGAATATGCTTGTCAGTTAGGCACTAATGAAAATTACTATAAGTAGAATTCTGAAGCTTAATCTAACAGTGATATTTTCCAATTACAACTTATTATCACTTCCTTACAGATTCGATCATTACTACAACCCTATGACAACTTTAATTCTAAAGTTTAGGAGCATCAAAACGAGAATCAGTTGAGTTTAAACATTCCAACCTCCGCAGCTTGAATTCGTTTCTAAACATGAATGTACCACTAAACTCAGTAGATTAAAGATAATTTAAGGTTTTTTTATAATTAAAAATGTAAACCGAAAGCTTTCCGTGAGTTGCTTCTTCACGCTGTTCTAAGATTATGAAGAGTTGACAAAAGACAATTCAGTGAAGAAAAGTTTCTTTTCAGTGAGTCGTCTTCAGACAACATACAATCGTATTTATAGTTATGAAAAAGTGTAAGTCCATCCATAACTAATAGATCAAAACAAGGTCATCAAAAACTGTTTATAAGCTCACACTAGATTAACGAAATTTCGTAGAGAGATAATGAGGAAGGTAAGATTAGATATTACAGCTGCCTCTTATGAACACAGTAATCAGACTTGAACCAATGAATCGTTAAGGCTTCTGATAGGTTTAGATAGTGAATCCGTCTTCCCTTTGGAATGTGTGATTTCATTTCAAAAATAACTTTGAAGTAAGGTTTTGGTGGATGAGACTGAGCAGAGTTAATTAGGCACTAAAGAATAGAGCAGTTAACCGCTTTGGAATCCCCTTTAGACAGTCATGTAGGATAGTATTCAGAGATACGTTTGGATAGAACAGCTTTGTGCTGTCTATGTAACCAGCTGAGCAACAGTAGATGGATTGTCTTTTCTTAATATTCTCAGATATCAGAGGTAACTTTTGAGAAGTCAAGAATAGCTTACCGTTCGCTATTAAAGTTTAGCCTAACAATCCCTAGACGTTTTCAATTTTGTTGAAAAATGATCAAATGTTGCTTATTAGAATAACAGCTGAAACGTTTCTTCAAACATTGCTGTATTTCATCCATATAAAGCCTCAATCTTTTCCCACTAACGACAGCAAAACTGATAAAGCCTATCAGTAGTCAGTTTATATTTTTTTTACTCCATAACAGTACGTAAATCCATTTTTCTTGTTCTGTTGTAATTAGTATTCCATAAGCTGAAAATAAAACTCAACATTGTGTTCATTAATTTGGTTTCTGTTATATTTCCTTGGATGACCTTGGCCACGGAAGACAAAACAGCACATTAAAAGTGTTAAATGGGCCAATCAGCGTTTAGTATCCGAAACTGCGGTAAAAATAAGTAATGTAGCATATTAACATATTATAAGTCAGTTTTCTTAGGGGTTAGGCATCCCTAACAGTTTCCACTTTGGAATTACTCGTCATTTCTGTGAAAAAGTAAAAATGAACTAGTGCTGAGGAAGTAGCAAGTAATCTTACCCCAGTTTCCACGGATTGGTTGTATTCCAAAGCCTGTAAGATGGCATTATTCAGACCAGTGGCTTTTCTTACTATCCCTGCACCAAACTGTATACAATGAAACAAATATACAAATTACGTTGATAAAATGGAAATGAATTTTCATATTACATATTCATCTTGTTGAATAAATTTGAAAAATCATCTTTAAAGCCCATTTTGCATCTTCAGAGTACATCTCATTGTTACAACAAAGAGGATCTCTGTACCGAAGCTGATCATCAATAAGAAGGGATTCACTAGTTAGAATCTTACAGTGATCTAGATCTTAGTTTCACATTTAACCATAGCAGATTCACTATTATAAGTATTTGTTTAGTAATCAAAGTAGTTTCAAATAGCAAAATGACGTTGGTCAGCTTTCACCTTGGTTATTTCATCAGTTTTCGAGTAACTTATTTATACAGAAACCTAAACTGAAAGTGCCTAAAGCATTCGCTGTTGATTATTATTGAAGAAGGTGAAATCAGTTGATTGTTCCTTTAGATAATATCGAACTATGATGTAATCTGAATTTCCAGTAAACAGGAAAGTTTCTGGAAAATTTAGTTCCAGAAATAACTTGAAAAAAATCTGCATCCCGGTGTTGGTAACTGATAGCGCACATTTTATAGAAGATAACCTATGAGATTAAAATCTTTAGTAATATTTTTTTAGGCTTCCCATCGTCTCTTATTTATTGTATCTTTAGTGGATGCAAATTTTCCCAAGTGGTATCTCTTTTATTCTTAACTTACTGTTTACTATATTTGCTTCAATAAAAGTGATGCACAAGAATTTCATATTGATTGGTCAAAATCAATAAATTCAGTCTAATCACTGAAAGGAGATGATGAGGAAAGAAGTCAGTGGTTAGATTTTTGTTACATATAAAACAGTTATTACTGATGAGTCCCCAAGTAAGACGAAATGTCTATCGTTCATTACATTGCTAGCCACTATTCAACATTATTGTAAAGCAGTTGCCTGAGACTAAGTAGGGTGAAGTGAAAGCAAAATATGATTATTCTTTCAGTTTCTGGAGTTATATAGCAGAGAACCGGATGAAGCAAGCCATCAGCTTGTACACAACTTCTACCAAGCTTTTTGTAGATTCTATCATTATTTTCACATAGATACTAGTCTTTTGATTAAACCTATTTTGATATGTTTGCAGTAAAATTTAATAGCTTATAAACAATAAACTATGTAGCTGGTAAGCTATTTTCAATTCCTAGTTACAATTCTTGAAAATTAACAGGTTTTCATGAGAGATCACTTTGTTGATAAAGTTATAAACCGCAGAATTTCACTTTAAGTAGTATATTTTAATGATTTGTATCAGTTTAGAACTTGAAAAGATGTAATATCAACCAGTTTTGCTCAACTAAACATCATACTAATAACTGTTTATAGCGTTCTCAAAAGATGAAGATTATCTGAACAATATGTGATGTATTTACGAAATACATTTCGAATAATCTGGTCACATATTTACTTGTTAAGTCAATTTATATATGAAAATTGGAAAAAATTAATAATCCATTATGACCAATATTATCAGTATGTTAGTCCTTTACATACATATTGGCTAAATGGTTAACCGGAATACTGAATCCTATTTGTAATGTTTTGTGTAAGTATTCATTGAAAGATATTTTTCAACTTGTTGATTATCTTACTGATATGAATATCTGAGATAAGAAAATGTACTCTTATGATTATTCTTCCTTCCCTATTTCTTCAATAGATTTGAAAGAGTTACTCATGTGCTGATAAGGTTTATTTCACTTTTGAAGGCGAACACTTAGCAAATTAATGGTGTTGCTATGAAGAGTCCATTAAGACCGTCATTAGTTGATGTATATATGTCACATATTTAACTAATGGCTTAGGATTTAATCATCAATGTCATATTCTATGGAAGGTATGCTGATGATACATTTGTAATGTGTGACATAGATGAGAATGCTGGGGGTTTGTTAAAAAGGCTTAATACCGTACAAGATCATATCAGCCTGACATGTGAAGAAGAAAATGATATTTAACTTGCTTTTTTTTTATATACTCTTGTGTCAGAGGGAAGACGGATCTATCAGATGATCAATCTATAGAAATCCTACTTCGATGGGACAGCTTTTATCCAATAAAATATAAGACAGGTTTAGTAAGATGTTTATTCAATGGAATCCAACGTATTTATACTACTGATACAATCCATGATGAAAAGGAATTTCTCACACACATACTTTCAGAAAACGGATATCCATTACAGTTTGTGAACCATTGTAGAAAACAGCTAACCCCGAAGTCTATAATTTCCTCAGTCACGAAGAAAGATATATTTCTTAAAGTACCATACAAAAGGGAAACGAGTATAATGGTATTAAAACAGATTAAAATCTGTTATCAGTAAAACATACTGTGCAGCTCAACTTATCACTGTTGAAACAACAAAACACTTCTTTCGCCATAAACCTCAACCTTGCATAAATGACTGTCACATAGCATTCTGCTTACCAATTTATATGTATATATGGGTACACATACATAGGGAGGAGTAATCGTTGAATGCAGACTATAGTGGGTGAACACATACCTAAATGGCTTCAAAAGCAATTCAACACAAACGTTGATAAGTGCAAGTGACAGACATCCATCGTCATCTATAGCAAAACATATCATGGAAATAAATCATAAGGTTAGTACGAAAACAGCACTCAAGATATAATATAGGAACACTCAAGGGTGCATACTGAAATTTGCCGAGGCGTTCGCCATTCGTAAACTTAAGCCCCGTTGTATGTGCGTAAAATATTTATTGTTTCATTCAGTTTACCTTGACTATCCTTCGATGATTATATTACCAAGACTAGTGTCACAACCTTTTCATATTCATGATATTTAACGTTACATTTTTACTTTCATTCCCATGTATGAATGGACTTGACAAGTAAGTATGTGATCAGATTGTTTTAAATGTATTGCGCAAATAAAACATATTTTGTAGATAATCTTCGTCTACTGATTACGTTATGGAAACTTGTTAAAGGGACTAATTGTTTCGAACTATTTATAAGGTGATTATTATTATTATTAATTCATGTTTTACCTCCAATGTAGATTGATTTGTCTTATTCAATCTCATCCACAGCGTAGATCGCTTTAAACATAGTTTATCCTCTCATTCTGAGTAAAGTTTTGATTTGACTTATGTAGATTAAAATAACAGTGGAAGTGAGTTGGACGAAATAAATTTGGTCCACAGTAATAATTTTCCGTAAGTGTTATTTTCTACTCCTTCCCTCTCAATTCCTGTGTCACTTATTGTCCAATCGAAATGGACGAGAAAACATCCCAGGTGATTGGTTTCACGAAGTCGGAAAGTACTATAAAACAGAGCAAACTGAGGAAGAGTTGCTTTATTTTCATAATGAGGGACGATACCATCCGAAGTGCTGTAACGGAAAACGAATCAATCTTTATGGACCATTTTTGTCTTGCCGCGTTTCCGTTTTCAGAGTCATAAACGCACTACCTAGCCTGGTTAACTAGTTCACTAGTTACTAGCTGGTCTTGAACCCGGGTAAAGAGGGAAGGTTGGGCATAGGTCTAGCAACCCTGCATCAGAAAACCAATCCAATTGCTACAGAAACTTCAAAGCACAAACGAAATATTAAAAATGAAAACAAACTTGTTCCCCGCTGGAATCGGAGAGGCGAAATGACGCCGGTTGGTGAAAGTCTTCAGGAGGCCAATTGGCCGATGTATCTTCTCTCGATGAAAGCGAAAGTAAGGATGGGGACATGGAATGTCTGCACCATGTTTGAACCTAGCAAGGCAGCCCAGATTGCCAAAGAGATGAGAAGGTATAGCATAGAAGTGTCAGGCAGGGAATCTGCGAAAGCAGATGGGAAGGAATGGAGGTGGACTCTCCGAACTTTCAGCTGGAGAGCAGAGTCAATAATTTACTCCGATCATCCAGACGACAACCACGAACACACGGAAGGAGTGACTATCATGATATCCCCAACAGCATAGAAGGCTCTCATACAGTGGGAACCAATCTCCTCCAGGATCATAGCAGCAAGATTCAACTCAAAAGGAAAGAAAGTCACGATCGTACAATGCTACACTGTGCAACTACAAATAATGCAGATCAAGAAGAGAAGAAGGAGGAATTTTACAGACAACTGCAATCAACACTGAACAAGACCTCAGTTGGTGACGTCAAAATCTAATGGGTGACATGAATGCCAAAGTGGGAGCGGAAAAAGTGAACACAAGCCCGCCGACCAAAGTCGAATTCTTGAATGCCATAAGGCCGCTGAAATGCGGGAAAGCAGCAGGACCAGATGGAATCCAGCCAGAAGCACTGAGAACAGACGCAGGGACAAAAGCGGACATGCTCACACCACTGTTGTAGAAGGTTTGGAAGGAAGGAAATGTACCTGGCGATTGGAAGAAGGGTTACCTTGTCAAACTGCCGAAGAATGGCGACCTAAGTTTTTGTAAGAACTGGCGCGGAATCATGCTGCTGTCCACCCAAAGCTAGCAAAATATAGACCATATCATCCTGGAGAGAGTAGAGGATGCACTGGATTTGAAACTACGACGGAACAGGCTGGCTGGCTGGATTCAAAAAGTACAAATCATGTGCCGACCAAGTTGCAACGCTTCGCATCATCATAGAACAGAGTATAGAATGGCAGTCAACTAAACTCAACCTCAAATTCAACTTTATCGACTTTGAAAAGGCCTTTGACAATGTCGACCGAGAAGTAATTTGAAAGGTAGCTCCTTCATCACTACGGTTTTAGTGCCACGAATCTTTATCAGCCTCATTCAACAACAGCTATATGAAGACGCCATATGCCGAGTGATTCACAATGAAAAGCTCAGCTCAGTAATGCCTTTGAAGTGAAGACAGGAGTAAAACAAGGCTGTCTACTGTCACCCATGATATTCCTGATCGTGGTGGACTCGACTGGATCATGCAACAAACGGTGAGGAGCGAGAAAATAGGGATACACTGGCTGGACAGGGGAAAAGATCCTAGCAGATTTGGATTTCCCCGACAACCCGTGTCTAATGTCACACAAATTTGAGGATCTACAGGCAAAAACTAACAAGTTGACAGAAGAGGTAGGGCAGCAAAGACGGGACTTCAAATGAACGTAGAGAAGACCGAGGTGATGAAGACACCCACCCAACAACAACAAGCTTCAATCACCATCAACGGGAGAAGCCTGGAGGAAGTTGTCTCTCTCACCTATCTAGGCATGAAAGCATCGTTTCAACTACAGGCGACACAGGTACAGATGACGATACCAAAGCTGGGATCGGAAATACAGCAAGGCAGGCGTTCATTAACCTGAAACCAGTGTGGAGATCGTCTGCACTTAGCACAAAGCGCAAACAACATCCGCATTTTCAACACCAATGTCAAGTCAGTGGTGCTATATGGTTAAGAGAATTGGCGCGTTACGAAAGGGATTTCCAACAAATTACAGACATTCATCAACAGCTGTCGCCTATGCTCACTCGATACTGACACTGAAGATCAGACAAATGGCCAGAATAATAAGAATAAGCAACAAGGAACTGTGGCTGGCTGGCTGGCCGACCGACCGACCGACGAACCAACCAAGAAGCTATCGCTCAACAGATATGCAGAAGGAATTGGAGATGGACGGGATTGGGCAAGCACTGAGAAGGCCGATTGGGGACATCACGTGTCAAGCCAGGCACTCGAGTGGAACCCAAATGGGAAACGACGAGTTGGGCGTCGCAGCTGAGGTTGACATGGAGGAGATGGTGTGAGGAATAAATGAAAGCTTGTTGGCAGTCATGGCGCCAGGTTTTGAAGACTGTAGAGGAGAGAGTGGAATGGGGGCATGCTACTGAAGCTGTGTATTCCACTAGGAACTCAAGGGACAAATAATAATAATAATAAGGTGTTCTTTTATGACACGCATATTTTCTGGACTGTCTTCAAAGAACTAACGAAACAAATGTTTCGAAAAACGACCTTTGTGATCGCATCAAAAGAAGTTAACACCCAGTGAATCACTTTTCAGCTTTTTACGCAATTTCTACAATTTATTCTGATACTTGGTGATAACTGGAAGTGAAATGAAGACCTATGCCACTGCAGGACTTTAACAAATGACCACCAGGTTCCCAGCCGTTTGGTCTACCAACTACTAACCAGATTTTTATTTCACCTCGATCACCAGGGATACTACCTTGCCTGACTACCTCGTCACTTCGTAGTGCGTTACCATCGCGGGATCGTATTCACACTGGCATCTCAGTCAGGACTGCTTATCGCAGCCTAAAGTTACGTGAATTAGAGAAAGGTAGAATCATATTGATTATCAGTTTGATTATTTGACATACTCGTGATTTGGCAGACTTGAGTTATTGCTACTGAGTGATGATTGAAGGTGAAATGGTATTTCGTACTACGGTGGGATTTGAATCAGCGATCACGGTGGCTTAAGTCTTCACTTAGCCCTCAACCATCATCCAGTACCAATAATACGAGTCTACCACACCGTAGCTATCTCAGATAGTCAAAATGTTAATCTAGTTCCACTTATTTGACCAATTACACCTGGTTTCATGCAAAATGAATTCACTTCGATAACTACTCATAACAGTTAGGTATATGCTTCATCGTTCATTGGTAGCCTTAACTTCTCTACAGGTTTGTAGACTGTATTCGGAAGTGTGAAACTCATCATAATCGCTTTTCATCGATAGATATGCTATCTTTTCCCTACTTACCAATCATACTGTAAGCTAATAATGGAGAGTTGATTGAAGCGTTAAGAAAATAATATTCCCTAATCTTCAAAACGGTAGCCTTATAGGTTTGTGCATTATTGATCTGTGTTACTGTATACTAGTGCTGAGGTCACAGGTTGAAAGATCACTCAACCTTCTTCAATCAAGATGACTAAAAAAATTGCCGGAGATGATTTCTTGACAAAAGCTTAATTTCCTATTGACACTAATTTTATTTGTCTGTTATGAGCTTGATTTTGTCAGAATCTGTTACTTCGTCCTGAATGTTCTTGATACCAGAACTTTTTTAATTTTTTGGTTGAAAAGCAATAGGGATATTTGTCAATTTTTCCTAAGAGAGATGACAGATTACTGACGTGTATAATTGGCCAGGTCAAGTTACTCTGCTTAAACTTGTAGTTGAAATTCTAGTTAAAGAAGAGATTCTGGTCATTATAAAGGCAACACATTCAAAAGTTTTAACTGGAAAATGAAAGTTTGGTTGGTAGCAGTGATTATATGCCGCAGATATTCACCTATCTAGGCACAAATATGCTATTTCATTCCCTTCGTCATTTTTTACAGGCTCACCTAAATCCAAATGACATTATGGATAAAAATTTAGGTTTCATCAGTCTTTTTATAATACAATTTTGAACACAATGTAACTGACCAAGCTATAACATGAATGCCTTTTGCTTTAAAGCCATCTAGCCTGAATTATGCACCAATCCTACATTCTAGTCAGTATATTAGACTGATTCTTTGTGTTTCCTCTGTTCAGAATTTTTACATTGTCGAAATTGAATTCATGGCTATTAAGCGCCACGACATTTCGTCACTCATTTCAATGCATATGGAAAATTATGGACATGAATTCAATTTTGACAATGTAGAAATTTTGGTCAGAGGAAACACGAAGAATGTCACAGAATTTTTAGAAGCTTGGCATTCAAGTCAGTCAGCCAGTCAGCAATCAACAGATGTATAGACATAGACCCGATCTATCAACTAGTAAGAAAAATGATAAACGATAGAAAGGTCAGAGGTCAAGCAGATGAACAGCCAATAGGAATGTCTATACAATCAATAATACAAAAATCGAAGGAAACAACCAATCAGAGAGCACATCGTCAGAGCAAGCCACTAAATCACTCACAGAGAGATAGTAATAGCTCACTTCATACTGAATTAGTGCTGACGATATCGTCTAGCAAGACGATGAAAGCTTCAAGATTAAACAACCCAGCTCAGAGAACACAATACAATCAAGACCATCCACCTGAGCTACAAATATTCTCCACTATTTCAAACGACCACGTCATCCATTGCTGTAGTTTGAGACGTTATCACTGAGCTATTCAGGCTGAGATTGACCTCTTGTAGGATTTGATTAGATAAGCTGATCATTGGCCAGGACAACAAATCATTTCATGTGGTGTTGAGTCTCCTAGTCTGTTGATCACATAATCAAATGATCGGTAGAATTTAATCGGCAATAAGGACTAGATAAAATGTGATCGGATACATTCCATTGGTCGGTCAATATAAAACAGACTGTCTTTTGAATGTTTTTGTAACTCACGATGCTTTCTAAGGAAGAAAACTAAGTTTGCAAGACTGTAAATTTATGAAAGCTTCAGTCAGAGAAGCACTCAAATAGATAAACAGTTTAATACTCACTTGAACAAGTGGAATATAACCAGCTGCAACTTGTGTTTGAATTGCTTCACCTAATTGTTCTTCAGGATAAATATTAGCCATAATTCGCCAATTATTATGAGTAATTTGTAAACAGATAAGTAATGCACCAGGTGGAGCACATGCCAATGATTCAATACTTGGCATTAGATGTGCTAATTTACTACTTGCTGTACGCTCTGAATCTCTAGCTCCGATTAAAACAAATCTTAGTTCAATAAAAATTGACACAGAAAAAGTGTAAACATAAAAAAACAGTAAAACAAAAAAAAAAGAAAACTGTACAGAACATGAAGACATTTAAGAAATAGTTCAATTGAGTTCAGTCAATCCATATTATAAAATAAATTGCTGCTACATCAGTTTAAGTATGTGATAAAAAAATCCAATTATTTACTTGGTGATATTTCAAGCATAATTTATTACTGCTTAGAATCATATCAGTGTAATCACACTCCACTTCTGACAACTGGTTTTATAGTCCTGTCACCTCATATTATTTGTTTTTATTAGTAGTAAAGTTTTCCACATCTCTGGTATAGGTGTTGCCTCATTGTTCCTATTACATGTGTTCGTACGAATATCTTAATAAACTGTAGAGGATAATTATCAACTATTAGCGATTCTTTTACATGTTTCAATTCCTTGTTTAAGTTCTTACAATGACTGGTAAAACGAAATCATAACAGTAACATGAGTACGAATAATAACGACAACACAAGTAGAAAGGAGTTCATGGCCTCCATTGTGTTATCCTATAAGGAAGGAACATCAAAAACTTTACGTAGGATCCTCAACAAAGCTGGAATTTAAACCTACAAACTCAATCAGAGATAAACTTTGTCGGCTGGCTTAAGGATCCGATAGAACCAATCAAGCAGAATAGTCTAATTTATGAAACCGCATGTAATGACTGAGAGGTCAAGTACATAGATCATGTTACCCGGTCGGGATCAGTTAGAATAGCAGAACATAAGAATTTGACTAAATATAGAATGACAAATCCAAGCTATTGCAATGCATACATTAACACATAATCACATAATAGGGTGGGACAAAACCACTGTCCAACATAATTAGGTGGAAAGCGAGATTGATTACTGAATTTTTGTTAATCAAACCAACATGCAACACATGTAATAGGAATAATGAGGCAACACCTATACCAGAGATATGGAAAACTTTACTACTAATAAAAACAAATAATATGAGGTGATAGGACTATAAAAAACAGTTGACGAAAGTGGTGTGTGATTACACTGATATGATTCTGAGTAGTAATAAATTACGCTCGAAATGTCATCAAATAAATAATACTGTATGTTATAAGTCAAATAAAACAAATCTAATGTAGAATAACATTTCACCACATTGCCCAACTTATATATATATATATATATATATATATATATATATATATATATATATAACGCTATATTTTTATTATTATTTGTCCCTTGGGTTCCTAGTGGAACACACAGCTTCAGTAGCACGTTTCTATTCCACTCCGTCCTCTGCAATCTTTTGGACCTGGCTACACGACTGCCCAGAATCCCTCATTTCTTCCCCACACTATCTCCTCCATGTCACCCTTGCTTCGGATGCCCAACTTGCCGTTTCCCATATATATATATATATATATATATATATATATATATATATATATATATATATATATATAAGTATAATTTTAATATGTTCTTTCAGCTCAGTGTTATATTGTCTCTTACGATCAAACAATCGAAGAGTAAAGTGAGATGTGCTAAACAGTCGTTTTAATGATTTATAATAGTGTATCCTATGGAAGGTAAAATGGAAAAAGAAGTAAACCTGAAATAATATTTATTAAGATATTGAAAAAGGGTTAGGATTGAATTCATCTGCTTGTTGTCATAGAATGCAGCTGAACCTAAAAATCTTTAAAGTCTAAAACTCTGTAGATTTCATTTTTTTAAAAGCCTGAAGTTCACTATGTATCTTGATACACCAATAGACTATTCTATGACCTTGTTAACTTAGTTATTGCCCAAATCTAATATGATAAATTGTATTGGAGTGAATTTTGGCAAGCAAAAAACAGGATTCAGTCATTGAAGTCGATAGATTGTTTCACCCTCCTGTTTCTGAGTTATTATCTGAAACCATCCATTTGATTGTTTTCTGTTTTCTCCATGTTAGATTTGTTAATTTAACTTAGTATATAATGATAAAGTGTTATTTACTGCATCACGTTTCCAGCATAAATTATTGCTCATGATAATATCAAAGTAAGCCCATAATTTTTGAAATATTTTACTTCTATCACCTCATATTATCTGTTTTGATTAATAGCAGAACTTGCCATATCTCTGGCATTGATGTTGCATCATTTCTGTTACATGTGTTAGGTGTTGTTTCGATAAACAAAGATTTAGTTATCCATCTCTCTCCACTTAAATATATTCAATTGAAGTAAAGTTTTTTTCTTCAATTATGTCGAACGGTTGTGTGTGAATCACAGTAATACAATAGCTGAGTTTTATTAGAGATTACTGCTCTTAGTGAGGTCTGTCATTCTAACTTTAACTTATCTCTTATGCTCCAGTAACCGAACTTAATCTGATCGGCTTGTTTGATCTGGATATTCATCTTCATAGTCACTGCATAGTATTTATTAGATGAAATTATTTTGTTGAATTGGATCAGTTGGATCCTTAATGAGACAAAATTTATCTTCTAGTGAATGTGTAGGTTTGAATCCCCGCTAATTGCAGTCTTATTGAGAATTCCATATAAAGTTTTTGTTGTCTCTTCTTTATCTGGTTACACTATAGAAGCGTAGGACTCTTTCCTACTCGTGTTGTCAGGATTATTCATACTTCTATTTTGTTTCTTATGTATTTTTTTTACCATTTTATTTATAAACTCTAAAGGATTACTTTGATATGATTCCGAGGAATAGTTTATGGTTAGAATATCATCAGTTAAACAAAGCTTTATCACCGGATACAGAAGACTCGTTCGGCATTCGTCAACTTTCTTCATCTGTGGTGGTAGCAAAATATCTGACTATCTATCAAACGACGTGTATACTACACTGCAGTCTGTTGTATCCTGTCTTGTGGCTGTAAGAAACGGCCATTAAAGGTAGAAGAAACGAAAAGATTACAGGGTTTTGATCACAGATGTCTTCTAAGCAAAGCCGCGTTTTGTGATATTATCGTATAAACAGTGTTGAGGTCAGGCGAAGGGTACCAAGAAAGAAAGGAAAATCAGTCATTAAGGTTGCGAAATTTCAGTAACTAGAGTGACCTGAACATGTGTTGCATATGCCGAGCCACTGCCTACCCCCAACCTGCCACGATAGGCCAAGTTGGATTACGATGGAATAGGGTTCAGGGTAGCAATAGTGTATGAAGTCTCTGACTATTGGTCTGAGTCGTTTAGGGAAGTGTAGACTGCCTGTTTGAGGTCCATGTAGATCGGTCACAAAGGTGTACGTGTGTTCACACTAACCTTTATCTTCAAATTGTTTGTTCTCTGACACTGCTTCGTCTACTTTGATATCACTCCTTTTCTATCCACTTGTTCTTTGTGTACAATTGTGAAATGTGTCAATCTGAGCCGATTCACCTGGTGAGAGGTGCTACGTTGATTGTATCAGTCAGTCACTGTGTGCTATATCAAATAAACTAATCTAGTATGGAATTGGACCCTATCATAGGCCCTTAACTTTTGCACTGATATTAATTGCAGTTAATTTTCTTCATTAACCCAACTTTTGTTCTTATAATGAATTTCAACTGATGCATTTTTTCATAATTATGTCAAATTCCCATTATTAACCTGTGAAGGTAGATTTCCAGGAACCTGACATATGGTATTTCTAAGTGGATACTAAACGTTTAGTTCTCCTTAGTATCAAAATCTAAAGCAAACTACTGACTATTTAAATAGGATAATATACCAAGTGATGCTTTTAGAAGAGCTTCAAAACGAGCGATACCTTAATACTAAGAAGAAAAGTGAAATTTTCAACTGGTGTAGGACTTTTTATGAAAACCTATGTAAGCTAAAAAAGGTCTTGTCACAGACATAAAGATCTGTCACTCTGAAACTGAAAGATACATTTATTTATCCCCAACCATACAGATGTAAACGATAAACCAACCTAGCTTCCTCTGGGTTTTAGAAAAGGGATCTTAAATGTTTTGAAACACAGTAAAGTACCTGGACTGGTTAACCCTGAATAAATCATCTTTGCATATCATTTGGAATATTTTCTGAGCAACATGCTGCAAGTAACGAGGTCTTCTCAAGGTGAATGGTGACATGCATTAATACACAATTACAGTGTAGATTTGCTTTAATTAGTAGTAAGTGGTTAGGTGTGTGTATGTGTGTGAAAAGAATAAACGGTGTCATTTATTTAGAAATAAAATTGATACTTTGTTTTATCATTACTTGGTCTTGCAGGTCACGCCAGGAACGGCTGAAATAACCAAATGACTTTTCTTTTACATTTTTGCTGATGAGGTAGATTTTTGTTTCATAAAAAAAGTTCATTGATTAATTCATTACTTTCTACAGTAGCGTTTATTGTCACTGTTTAGAAAATACATTATTTTTTACTTGTAAAAATTATTTTATTTATGCTATGGATGCAAATGTTGCTTCTTTTAGCGTCCAAAATTTATAAAAGTTGATAGAAGTAGGAAACTATGAACTATTGAAATCCGACTCAATGACTGAATGGTTAATTCGTTCATCCCAAGACCTGAGGGTCTTGAGTCCGACCTCTAGCGGGATCGTGGGTGCGTGCTGCTGAGCAGTTTCAAACCAGAAAAGAAAAGCTGTTCCGTGCTTCTAGATTTTCAATGCTTCTCCAAATAATTCCGATCCGTGATGAATACCGACTTGAGATCACAAATTTAAACAAAAAGTGGGTTTATCTTGAATGAAACTTTCAATTAATCCCCAGTTTGCCACTAACTACTAATTCTAGTTATGTGTTAATTATTACTAATTGACTACGTTTTTCCATAGTAATCAACAAAAGTTTTTATTTCATCTTGTTGTTCAGATGACTACAGACGTAGTGACGCATTAAAGATGTTGAATGCAAAGTATGGTTGCTTATCATATTAGTAGATAAGGAATACGAATAAAAACTCAAGTGGACAACCAAAACTGCAAAGGAGAAGTAGAAATATTTTCATTTAAATGTGGTGCTCAAGGGTGTGATCAGACTGTACACAGAAAATAGCCCATAAATCACAACACGTAAAGTATCAGCAAATGGTAAGCTGACAAGACTTTCCATTCCAGTGAATTTTTAGATTTAGTGGTACTTTCTTTTTTAAAGGGAAGATATTTTAATCCTGAGGTCTTCACTTTCATTCTTAACAAAATCCTTGAAGCTGATACCGACAAGATGATCCTTGTGGACAGATTAAAAGAGCCTACAAAAGAAACTGGAGAGAATCAAAACACTAACCAAAAACTAGAAAGTAAAGGAATGAAGAAGTTTGTAGGCGATACTGTTTGACAATAATTCACCATACAGTGAAAACAAATGAAATCTGAGTCTTGAAAAAAAGTGCTAAGTATAGTAAAAAGTAAATCACGGTAACGATGGATAGTGAACAGCACTGGGACCCAGGACGCGCGTTGCGTCCTACTCGAGATTCGTCAGCTAGGTATGCGCGCCGCTCACTGGGTGATGTTGTTCTCACTAAGACTCGAACCAGAGACGGGTCACTTCAAACTTCAGAGAGCTACCCACTAGGCCATCAGGTCACATAGGCCACTTCCTGTGCGATGGTTGTAGCTTCGATTTTATTGTTTGCATTATCCCATTGTTGACTGAACCGAATTGATTGGTGTCTGTTGGAATAAGGGCCTCTACGAGGGTGCCTTGATACTGCCTGTGTTTCAGTTTCATAGTAATGATTGATAGTGACTAGCAGTGAAATCCAGGACACACGTTTCATCCTAGGGGTAAGTGTTCACAGAGACTCGGTGGCCTAGTGGATAACGCTCTGGCTTTTGAAGCGATTGGTCCCACTTTGGAGTCCCAGTGCAAATAGCTTCGCCCACTGGTAGACGGATACATCCACCTGATGCGTCTCAAATAGGACGAGGTGCTTGTCCTGGATTCTACTGCTGTCCACTATGCATCATTAATACCAAATTCGAAAATACTGGTAATACTGAGGCGTTCGTGCAAGAACCTATGTGCTAATATAGACTGTCCGATTCAGTTCAACCAACGACGTGATAACTATATTGTTTCATGTCTAGTGTTGATCAAAATTAATGAATTGACCTTAATATACATAACTAGCAAAGATGAGGAATATTTGTAGATGAAACGGTACACAAGTGAGTAGATTACATACTGACAGCGAATGCCAACGAATACAGGTGTGTAAAACATTTTAGCTTTCAATAATTATTCACGGATAATCAGTTACCATACTTGTCTTAGTTCTCAATGAGTTTTTCTGTCAGCTGAAAAGATAGTTAGTGCTAACATGTGTGTTGACAGCAGATAGAATTTTTGGGTTGCCGTCTCTTTCAGGGTGATTATATGTGTTCATCAGTCAATACACACTTCCCTGAGTAACTCAGTGTGTAGAATGTATATGGAAATGTTTGAATTAGTAAAAACGTCTACATTATCAAGCTTTTTTGTTTTAACAGCATGTTCATTATTTGTGTTGTCTCTGAATTATATGTCAGTACGAGAAAACAATCTATGGGAATTCTCAAGTTTTGGTTTCCCAACTCTCCTCAAATTCAACCGTATCACATGTTAGTCACTGTTCTCAAATAAATATTTGTTGAATCTTTCCTTTGAATGATTTTGTTCTAGTAAGTATTATTATAATAATTATTATTTGCCCCTTGGGTTCCTAATGGAACATAGGGCTTCAGTAGCACGTCCCCAGTGAACTCTGTTCTCTGAAATCTTCTCAAACTGGATCCACAACTGCCCACAAGCTCTCATCTCCTCCTCGCATGATCTCCTCTATGTCACCCTCGCCTCGGACACCCAACTCGTCGTTTCCCATCTGGGTTCCACTCGACACCCTCGCCTGGCGCGTGATGTCCTCGAATGGTCTTCCCATTGCATCCTTAATCAATCTCCACTTCCCTCTACATATTTGTTGAGCGATAGCTTCTTAATTGGTTCGTTGCCAGCCAGCCAGCCAGACTCAGTTCCTTCTTGCTTATTCTTATCATTCTGGCAATCCATCTGGGCTTCAGTAATGAGCCAGTGTAGGCACTTGTTGATGAATATCTGTAGTTTGTTGAAAATCCCTTTCGTGACGCTTCAAGTCTCTGAACCATACAGAAGCACTGACTTGACTGGCATTGGTGTTGAAAATCAGCATCTTGTTCACGCTTTGTACTGAGTGCAGAAGATCTTCACACTGGTTTCAGGTTAATGAACGCCTGTCTTGCTGTCTTTCCGATCCTGGCTGCATTGACGTCCTCGTCTGTGCCACCTGTAGTTGAGACAGTGCTGCTCTGCCCAGATAGGTGAAGGAGGCTACTTCCTTTAGGTTTCTCCCGTTGATGGTGATTGGGGCTTGTTGTTGTTGTTTAAGTATCTTCATCACCTCTGTCTTCTCTATATTCACTTGAAGTTCCATCTTCGCTGCCTAGCCTCTTCTGTAAACTTGTGGGTTTCGCCTGTAGATCTTCCAGTATGTGTGACATTAGACACAAGTCATCGGCGAAATCCAATTCTTCTAGGTTCTTTTCCCCGGTCCAGCCAGTGTATCCCCCTCTTCTCACAGCTCCTCACTGTTTGTTTCATGATCCAGTCCACCACAATCAGGAATATCAACGTGCCTATCAAAAATCACCATCTGGTCCTGCTGCTTTCCAGTAATGTTCACGGCTTAAACAAGCAAAGACGTAGAACTACTTAGAGTCACCGTTTTCAACGACATCATTCTCAGGCTGTACAATCGCGTATAAATATATTATTCACATGGTAACAAAAAAGGAATGTTTCATGAAATATTTTTTGAACGAAGTTCATATTTGATTATAAGTCAGGAGGTCAGAAAAAAAACTACGCAATGTTTGAAATAGTTATGAGAAGAAGGAAGACTTATCAAGACGGAACTAATATTTGGTTATTAGGTTAAATTACCTAACACGGTGAATGTAAAGGGAAATCAGAATTGTCAGAGTGGAGGAATGTTATTTGTGAGATGTGCATGAAACGATTTTTGAAATTAAAAGTGTTTTTTAGGTTATATCCGTTGCAACTCAAGTAACTGAATAAATTCCTTTTGAGCATGGAGTTTAAGCTTTAAAATATTAAAAGTCAAGGCTTTCGCAGTTTGGAAAAGTTTTAGGCGTACACTTTTTATGAGATTTGCACGAACTCTGTAGATGATCCTGAAGTTGTTTTCTACATTTACCGGCTGGTCATCATCGATCAAATGTTCTAAAATAGATCTGTGTAGTGTCCTGTTTTTTCCTTCATGAAACCAGGATGGTATATGTTCGGAAATGCATTTGAAAAGCGAACGCTGAGTACGGCCAATATACTTTACTCCACGAGAGCAGCTGAATTGATATACACACATCGAGGTAGCCAAGAGAATAAGTTTATCCTTTACTCGTAATCGAGGCATTAGGTGAGTGGAGAAAGTTAATCTGAGTTTTGTAGCATAGAAAGTCTTTCTCATTGAGCATGTCAGACATTTTCAAAATATATCTGCTGATGTGTCTCCGTTGAACTGTAAGCTTATGGGGGGGGCGGATTTTTAAACTGCTGAAACAACTTACAGTCCTTAACAAAACTGTTAGCCACACACTGCAATAAAAGTAGCAACATATTCACTTCAATTTAGATATTTAAAGAACTACAGAACCAATACAGCTGAATACAAAAATAAATTGTAATACCTTTTAAAACGTTTCACCTACCTTCCTAAAACTGTTGTATCAAAACAAATAGTTCTTTTTGTGTAATATACTGGTTGTTTAATTGGTTTCCATGGGCCACCTTTTATTCCAACTAAAAGATTTGACCATCCTAAGCGTATAAATATATTGTCTATCCGACATTTTGATGAATTCAGATTATCTTTAAGATTGACGCGTACACGTGCCTTGGGTTTATTCACTTCTTCTTTCTGTTCTTCAACATGAGTACTTTGCCATACAATTTTTCTTATATGCTCAGATGGCTTTTGAAGGATGAATTAATTTGCAAACGAAAAAGTACAACAAAATTTAACTATTCAATCAGTGTTTCCAGATACCTTCAAAAATACAGTCTAAATTTGAAGTCTTATTTTATATTATAAAGTTTTCATCAGCTGCTTAGATGCCATATTGCTATAGAAGTCTGACTCCAACTGATTTTTAGTAAATTTAAAAAAAACAATAAACAAGATGCTGTAGTTTATTTGTTGGCTGATAGTAGACTTCAGAATGTCCCTTCGTCCTATTTAGGACTCATCAGCCATATTTACCAGCACCCCAGTGAGCATTACGGTTCCCACTGAAGGCTGAACACAATGAATATATTCAGGCAGTACTGAGGCATTCGTATAGGAGGCCATCTACCAACAGATGTTGGGCAATTCAATTCAGTATAACAACAGGAGATGAAAAATATCAACTGATACCCATGTTTATTTTCCTAACACAAACCCTCGTTTGTATTACGTTATTCCCCCTTTAGTTATTCAGCATATTGTAACCCCTGATCCTAAATAAGTCTGGAATGTTCCACCCTTCGTAACACAGATTCATGGGTGTACAGCTTAGTAAGTGACTTCGTCGAAAAGAAAATCTTTTCAAGATATTATTCATTATGGACTGGGATGAGCTGGGAAACCACTGAAAATCTTGGAGTGTTGGACAGCTGTTTCGTCCCAGCGTAGGAACCTTCAGCACTGCAAGCCCGTGACTGCACCAGGGATCAAACCCAAGACCTTCCGTCTGTGTGGTCACCACGTTACCATTGAGCCAATGGGTCGGAATCCAGTGGTCCATACATTCTACTTCTGTCAGTTCACAATATAGCCCGACCTACATCCAATGTCCTTGTATTCGACTTGGTTCAGCCCACCGGCCAAGACTTCTGATTTAAACTTCGGGAATCACCAATGAGCACAAGATTATTTAAATTTAGAGGTTAGTTAGGATTAACTTAGTGATTTCAGGTTGGTATTCCTGATTGGCTGACATCAGTTGGAGTCATGGTTGCGTACTGCTAGAAATTTCCATACTAGGGCAAACAAGCTGTGCAGTACTCCCAGGCTTCCAACGTTTCTCCAAATGATGTCAGACTACGGTGAATATCAACCTGAAATCAGTAAATAAATCCCCACAAACCTCCAAATAGAAAATTATTTTTTCTCTGCAGCGGCTTTTTTCTCTTTTCCTATAATACCCGATGTACAAGAGGTGGCTCTCACGCATCAGTTGCCCAGTAGGACACCCTTCAAAGTCTTTAGTGATGAGTACTGGCTTCCAGTTTCAACGGGAACAACACCATCTACTGGGATGCAGGTACATTTTGCTGATGAGTCTTAGGTGGGACGAAACGCACGTGCTGGATTCCACTGTTAGTTTCCACCGTTAACAATCTGAAATCGCATCAGACCGTGAGATTTATACTTTACTCCAGCGATATGACACTTTTTATTCATATATGACTGTAATCTTGACATTTTTCTTGAGAAATTTCAGTTTTCAAGTATGGAACTGGTAACATGTAATATTTGTTAAGCCAGTTGTCCCCTTCATATACGATCTAGCCTACCTTTCAATTTACAGACATTAAGCTTTTGTGTTAGGTTTTCTGTAAACGTTTCCAATGTTTCGAAACTCAGAACCAAGTGAGAATGACAGTCTATCAACAGGAATCAATAAATAAACAATGATACCCACTATGCAAGAGTACCACTCGTTCCGCAGTAACCTAGCGGGCTTTTAGTACTGAGTTCGGGTCCCAGTGGTGACATCCTCACTCACTGTGGTGCAGGTACATCCAGCTGACCAGTCACAAATAGAACGAAGTGCTCATCCTAGCTTCCAATGCTAGTTGCCAGTGTAGACAATGATAGTGGACCGCTTCATTGCCACTTTGATTCAATTTCACACCTAGTGGGCTTCAGTTAAACTTAATGGAGTTGTCATTAAAGGCTTTCTTTCATAATCTCAATAACCTTTCCACATATTCATGCTTTTGCATCATATATGAATTGAAGCAGCTAATCAAAGTAGTTTGGAAATTAGCTAACGAATAACGTTTAAATTTTTCTTTGGATCAACATAATTTGTGTGAACTTTGGTCTTAATTTATCTGAATAACTTCGCAAATATCACTTCCAATCGGAAATGAATCAACTTCTTTTTGAGTTGGTTATCCTCAAAAGCTGTCAATTGTAGTATGGAGAATCTTCATTGTAATTTAATTGTGTGGTGGTTACCAGGAGTAACTTCCTTTCAATCCAGAGAATTTGTTACGAGGACTCATACTACTTGAAAATAACAAGTAGCATGTAAACTTTGTCAATTAATAACTAAACAAGTACGTTGAATTCCTATGAATCCCGGTCAAGATTTTACTGGATAGTTTTAGAAATATTGGGCGCCGAGTGAAAAGTTGACATTAGATAGACAGATACGATAATGTAGACTTCGGTTATTTTCCTGAAGATGCTCGGACCAGATTTCTATGTGAAACGTTAGAGTTTTTATTTCAAACATTCTGAGAGTTGTGGAAATATGATTTATACTTTGAATTGCCCACTGTTTCAGTTGATTTATCAGGCGTAACAAACTGAAACAGTATTATTTCCTTGATTAAGTTTCGGTAATCCGTAATTTTGGACACTTTTACTCATTTCCATCACTAAATATCTAGATGACTTAGAGCTTAAAGCCTAATCAATTATCAATAAATGTTGAATGAGAACAGTAGAATACACCCATTTAATCATAGGAAAAGACAAGACATGGTTGTAGAAAAGAACCATTTCTCCTTCCAACAAAGTCATTTACTAAGCTGTACACTCGTGAATATATGTTACAATGAGCAGAAAGTTTAAGAATTATTTCCCGTTAGGGATCAAAATAAAATAAAATAAGTTAATAATACACATTTGGGTTTGTAGTGCGAAAATAAACAAAGGATAATGAAAATAAAATTGTGATTATACAATCCAGATTAGATCTATGACAGAGGGGGAAAATAAACAAGGGATTATGGAGATACATGTATAGTTACTTAATACAGGATGAATCTATGACAGTCAAGGCTTTAAGATGGCTATCACCAAGGTCTTGACAGAAGCTATCTGCTTCCTATCTGAATACATTCGGTGTCACAACATAGATATGGGATTCCAACTCATTGCCTAAAAGAGTTTTTCTTTCTATGCACTTTCAATGTACACTTCAGATTTGATAATGAAGTCTACAGGCAGATAGACTGTGTGGCAATGGGTTCTCCATTAGGACCTATGTTAGCTGACTGCTTCATGGCGAGCCTGGAAAACACCAATTTATCATCAACAATCAATGAACTTCATGTCTAAAAAAGATACATGGATGATACCTTTATAGTTTGTGGTGAAAATATGAATCTTGCAAACCTGCTTCATACTTTCAACAACACCCATCCTTCAACCAAACTCAGTCTAGAATGAGAATCAGACTCAAGCTTCCATTTTCTTCATGTTCAGCTACGAAAAAAACGTTAATTCACTTCGTAGACCAGTCTACAGAAAGCCTATATGGAATGGAAAGCTTATTGATTTTGAAGGTTCAGTCCCTCAATGAAGTGAGAAAAATTTTATCCATTCACTTTCTTCGAGGATCAGGAAAATACGTCCTGAAGACACTGTTGATGGGGAACTGCTAAATCTTCCACAAACTCTAGTGGAAAACAGTTTCTCGTTTAGATTCACTGATAATAAGAAAAAGCCAAAGAACCCAAATGAATGAACAAATTTGGCTCCGAAAAAGATTCTTTTGTTGAATCTGGAATTTGAAAATGATATTGCAGCATAAAACTTCAGGAAACGACTATCAAAATCCCTAAGTTGAACATACTTCGTCATCAAACTTCGAAATGTTTTCTTCTGCAAGAAGCCTTTGGTCAACTTGTGAAAGACAAGCCGACACATCAGGCCACATCAGTATATGTATACCAGTTTACTTGTTCTTGTGGAGCTGAGTACATGGCTGTACCATACATCTGCTTGTAAAACATGCCTGAGAACACTACCAAGCCTGGTTGGGAAAGGAAGAACGGAAATGTATCTTCAGTTCAATAACAGAACACCTCGTCAACCCAGGTCATTCAAAATCATCTGCAGGGTCCGATCAAACCACTCGAAGGAAGTAAGATCAAGGCATTTGTCTATAGCTGACTTACTAGCCGTCCAGAAGTTCAAACTAACATTATCCATCCAAAAAGGGTACGTCCAACCTTCATCCTTACCATGGCCATCATAAAGCCTTGACTGTCATAGATTCATCCTGTATTAAGTAACTATACATGTATCTCCATAATCCCTTGTTTATTTTCCCCCTCTGTCATAGATCTAATCTGGATTGTATAATCACAATTTTATTTTCATTATCCTTTGTTTATTTTCGCACTACAAACCCAAATGTGTATTATTAACTTATTTTATTTTATTTTGATCCCTAACGGGAAATAATTCTTAAACTTTCTGCTCATTGTAACATATATTCACGAGTGTACAGCTTAGTAAATGACTTTGTTGGAAGGAGAAATGGTTCTTTTCTACAACCATGTCTTGTCTTTTAATGAAAAGCTCACTCAGAATAATAAGCTTTTATTTTGGCAATATTCCGAGTAAAATTACTGCCCGCGATCGAACCAACAGTTGGAATTATTTAGCAATGTCTTTTGCTGATAAATAATGCATTCCTCAATGCACAAACTTTCCATTAATATATTTAAAGCATAATGTCTAAATATATTCAAACGAAATGTCGCGAATTAAATATTCTAAGCATCCATCCAACTAATTAGGGATACTATTCGTTACCACTGCACAAAATGTGATTTCATCAATCCCAAAGGTATTCACCTCATATGAGTTTTTTTTACATAAATAAAAACTCTGATCAGCAGAATATTCCATGCACCTAAGCCTAATTGATAGGAAGCGGCCTAAATCTGAATCAAAATCTTAAGTCAACAGTCACTAAAGTAGATGTTTTAGATTCCAATTTTGTTTTGTGTTACTGTGTGGTCAGGAAATACCTTATTGGGCAGTTTTGTCCTGCAGTTGACCATTGAAAACCAATATCCCTTTTTTGATCTGTGGTTTTATGTATTCATGAAAACTGTATGTAAGTGATGCGTTTTTATGGAGTCAAGTGTCTTCCTTACACTTGCAGGTCAGTCCTTGCCTCCTGAACTTTATTGCTTAGTGAATTGTGAGGGTCTGAGGGAGAACGGTCAGTATTCGTATCCAGTCCAGGAGCCTCATCACGTTGATATATGTCATGAGCTACTTTCTACTGCTGGTTACCTCAATATCTATTTACAAGTTGTTTCCATAGAGATAGTTACATTTGGCATACAAAGAGTACTTCTTCCAAATAAGAAGTTGGTGTTGGTAAATAAACAGTTAGGCACTTTAACATGTGATTATTCTTGGTGGTACAGCTCTACCAAAGTTATCCGATACTACTGTTTACGAAGTCAAACCAAAGGTTCTGAAAGGAACGCGATATTACAAGCTGTACCTGTCCGAGGCTTTTGAGATCCACCAATTTAAACCGTAACTTTTTTATGCAGAATAAGTACACTCAGTCTCACCTTTTACCATGGTCTTGTTAATCATCTATTATTAGAAGTTAGAATGATTTTTCTGCTTCTAATGGCTATTAAAGAACTGGTTAGCGGTATCCATCATCTTAACTTCAAGCCAGAACTGATCATTAATGAAAGTTGGAGCAATGGGTTTCAGTTAGCCGCATAGACTTTCAAAATGTGCTTGAATAGATATATCTGATGACCGAATGTGAGAAGAGTGAAGTTTAAGCCCAGGTAGTAACATTTTTTTCTGATATGTGGACAGTATTGCTGTAGGAGGATTATTAACATCCATATCCAGATTAACAGTGAGATAACTTTTATGGTTTTACTGTCTCGTAGAATGTCTAGTTACCGACGTATATTATCTTTTGTTTTAAGGTTAAAAGTAATCAAAAACTGTAGGAATTTCAGGTGACTTATTTTCCACATACCTGGTAGAACAAATAATACGTTTACTTGGGTAAAAATAATTCCTTCACCCCCAAAATATGACTTGTTGGATTCTGGTACATGGCTGGAGATGATCAACTGGAAGTCATGAATCTAGTTTCTGTACTTGTTGGCGCTTGTCAGCAGAGCATATCTACAAGACTACACCTTTCTTCGTAGCACTGCTGACTTATGATGGAATCAACATAGGAGCAATATCCAGGTTAGGCATAAATTATTAGGCAGGGAAAGTAAATGAGTCGATGAAGTTGCAAGCTTTCACCAGCAGAGGTGACCCAAACATGTGTTGTGCATGTTAAGCTACCTTTTACTTCTATCTAAAATGTTAGTCGAGTCAAGATTTGATCGAAAATTGGTTATAAGTGGCTGATCTGTGATATGGGGTTGATCATTCAACTCTGCAACTGCTGACTTGAGTTGCGTAGGGAGGTGTAAGCTGCTTTTCTGGTACCTTGAGATTATAGGAGTCTGATTGAAGACCTTTCGTGATATAAGTGAAAGCTGGTCACAGTGGCACTGATGTGTTCCTCCTTTGAAATCTTCGAAAGCTTGAACATTCTCAATAACCTTCTTTTCTGTAGTTCTGTCTCCCTATGTACTTTTGTCCACCTTAATATCACTCTTTTTCTGTCTACTTGTTCTTTGCATGCTATTTTGCAGTGTGATAGTTTGAACCGATGCAATATTCACCCTGGTGACTAGCAATGAAATCCTGAATGTACGGTTCGTCCTATTTGGGACTCCTCAGTTGGATGTGCCTGAGTGATGTTGTTCCCACAGAGGTTCGAAGACAGTGCCCAACACTTCGAACGCCAAGGTGTTGTCCACTAGGCGACTGAGGTAAGATAGGACAATGCACTTAGTTGTCAGGTTCCGTATCGATTTTCCTGTCTACTGTATTCGCAAAATACGGAAAATTGATGTTCTCTCAGAGGCTGGAATACACTTCACTGAGTGCTTCAACAAACTATTCAGCTTGTGATTAACCTCACAAAAAACTGACTGAATTCCATCATAGCTGCAGATCCGTTCTAATGACACATGGTAACAATCAGTAAATCTAGATCCAAGACTTCCAATCGTTTTTCTTTAGTTACACTATACCAGTCAAGATTTATTACAGTCATGAGTATCCAAGCCTACTGAATACACTGTAGAGTGTGTGATCTATGGAACTCGGTCAGTAATTAGGAATAAACAGTGAAAATGCAATCCTTGATAACAAACATGTGATGAGAAAGAAAATGCGATTGACGTTGAGTTGTAGAAGTAATGATGGATATTTGCTTTGGAGATTTGCGATGAATTCATTGACTTCAAGTTGATATTCGTCATGGACTTACGTCAGCAACAGAATCAGTGAAAACCCGGGAACACTGGACAGCTATTTCCTTCTGGTGTAGGACTCCTCAACAGTTGGTTAATTCGTGAACTGACAGAAATAGAAAAACATGAACTGTCGTGTCTTGACCCGGTGGCTCGTTGGCAATAGGTAAGCCTGAAATCCACGGTTCCTGAGTTTGACCCATGTCGGCCCCAATGGTTTCACGCTAACTAGTGGATACCTAGGCAGGGAGAGGCAGATGTCCAATGCTCCAAGGTTTCTAATGGTTCCTCAGGTGATAACAGTCCGTATCGAGTACCAAACCGAAATACTGGAAATGAATTCAAAAAAGGTATGCAGAACGTTTCAAAGACAATTTGAGAACATCTTCACTAAAATATTCTTGTTTTATCTTCAAATTTTACTTTCATAAAATTTAGTTCTAGGTAATTTCTTTTGAAGTAATCAGTAAGCTAAAAATATTTACCTGATACAAAACAACTAATCCTTTGTCTTGGATAGCTGCTGTCGTTTCCGACATTGTTGAATGCATTGCAGAAGTATTGGATAGAATATAAGTTCCAGCTGTAACACTTTGCTCTATGCTTTCTGAAGTCTTGTTACGTTTGTCAATATACCATTGAGGTAATGGTAGACGTATTGTTGCCGGTCGTTTTAATTCGACATCTTGTAACTGTAGATCAAATATATTAGAACAACCCTCGATCTGATTCAACTGAGCATCGAACAGGGACGCCAAATTCAACCAACTACTTCGTATTTCGATAGTCTATTATGTGTATAATAGTAAATAAACAGAAAAAATAAAATAAGAACTGGGTGGCAATTTGTCTGAGAGCGAAATACTAAATTCCTTGATGAAGCAAACAAAAAGTTGCATGTGGTAACAACTAAACTATGTCGTTAACAAACGGGTACAGCTAGAGGTTATCAGGGAAAGTGATTGTATTCACATTGGCAAGTCTTGTTCTCATTTTAAATTTAGCCATTAATCTACTGTATGCAAGAGTGATTTTAAGAATATTAACTTCGGCTATTACCAGCATAAAAAAACCCATCACAAAAGAACATAACTGTAAATGGAGAGCTTCATAAAGAAAATTAAAGACAAAGGTGATAAAGATACCCAACCAATAACTAACAGCAATCACCATCAACGGCAGAAATCTAAAGCAAGTTGTCTCTCTCATCTACTTAGCCAGGCAGCATCGTTCCAACTACAAGCGGTGGTGGCGTGGGAGGTGGCGGCACAACAACAACTCATCACCCAACAAATATGCAGAAGAGAGTGGAGATGGATTGGGCTGGACATATACTGAGAAAGAAGATGGTCTTAAGGAAATCACACGCCAGGTGAGACCTTCGAGTAGAAGGTGAATGGGAAGGAACGAGTTGTGTGTCCTAGGCGAGGGTGGTGAAATTGAGGAGATTGTATGAGAAAGAAATGAAAGGTGATGGGTAGTGGCGTAGCCAGGTTGGAAAGACTGCAGAGAAGAGAGTGAAATGGAGACGTGCTACTGAAGCCCTATGTTCCACTAAGAACCCAAGGGACAAATAATAAAATAAAAAATCTTTTATTGACCTCTTTTATTCAAAGTTCCATGGAAGTTCCTTCGTTTCGTGAATGTACACATTCTTTGAAATTTTCATACTGTTTCGGATAGTGAGGTTCATATCTTTAATCTGTTATTTTTATAAACAATATTGACAGCGCAAAGTAGGAAGTAAAATATGTATTGAAACTAATCAAACAGGTCAGTAATATCTGACTAAAAAGTACTGGAAGTTTTCACACTATTTTCAAAGATTTTATATGAGCAGTTAGGATATAATGTCACGTCAGACAGATAACTAATGTGAGCAATCTGTCTGTTAATCTGAATGCTTCTAAGAAAACTGTTCTACTTTTAGCCAGTTGAAACAAATAAATACAAAGTTTTACTTTACCTTCAATACAAAATTTCATCAACCTTTAAATGATACTTAATACTTTCAGTTAACTTGTCGCTGAAATAACGTTACTAATGCATAGCTAAATTTCACCTTAAGAAAGAACCATAACTAAATGATTTCAAGGTATTTCATCATAACAATAACATGTCGCGAAATTTTGTCTAAAAGAATAATTGTTCAAATATACTTAGATGTATGTAACCCATTTCTCAGGCCAAAGGCACTAATGTATTTAAACAGCCCATTTGTTCATTGTAAATAATTTATTCTCTAAATTTTCAATTGTCTAGATTCAGTGATATATTTGTTTAACAGTAACTAATGTGTGAGTAAGCTGGTGAAATGTGTTCAAAGTGAGTTATTCTCTAAGATCGCGTTTTAGTTAGCAAACGTTTCAGTGTCATGATAGATATCAACATCAGTGCATCAAAACTTCACGAAGAAGTGAAGTAATTGGTCTTGTATAGATATTTATAACCTGGTAATTTGTCTTAGTGTTATCTGATTGGTCACTTGATGTGCTTAACCTGACTTTTGACTTTTTTCCCTTAGTTTTTTCAAAGGCGTGTACAACTATGCAATTTGTTCATCTCTTTTGTTTAAATGAATTGATGAAGGTCGTTTTCGTTTTAATTGGATGGACTGTGTGTACTGTAGGAGGACCACTGTAAGCAGTCTGGTCTGTTTATTTCAGCAGAAAGAGTGTTATTTGCTACTGTAGATTGATTAGACTTAACTAGAGATAGGGAATCCTTTTGTTCAAGAAAAAAATTTGGAACATTAGCCTAGTTATATGTCATTTATCGAAATTCAAAAACAGGTGGAAGGTTTCTTCATGAAACTGGCTAGTTTACATTGGATTATCAAGTTGACACCTTTTGATTTACAGTTTGAATTTTGATGGATGGTTGACTTTCACCAAGGTTTGCTTATGAAATTAGAAACACCATAATATTACTCAGGACCTAAGTATTTTGCTCATATTTATTATTGTAACGTATAAGATCGGTGAGGTATTTAAGCTCAGATGCTTAGCCAGTGAATATATCACCCTTATAGTTAATAAACTGTTGCAGAGTGTGATCAATGAATTTCTTATCTTCGCCTTTTATTCCCAGAGTCTTGTAGATTCTCAGTTCAGTGGTATATTGTTTCACAAAGGAAATTTCTTGGATTTGTTTCATTTCTTAAAGTATTCATTCTTAAGCTCCTTTTAATTTTTATCCGCTTCTCTGGAATTTCTTCTCTGCAATAATAATACTTCATTATTCAGTCATTATTGTTTTGTACGGCTGTACAGTGTAACAACTTAAATCATTTCACTTTTGTGAACTTCACACAGAAGTACATCGGTTCGAGTTATCATACTTCACAGTAGCATGCAAAAAATAATTGGATAAAAGAGATCAAAAAACGTGTATGCGAAAGGAAAGAACTTAAAAAGTAAGGTTGATCGGAACATTTATGCTGTAGAAGACATCAGACATTGAATGTATCTGCACCACTGTGGTCGATTTTGCCCCCACCCCCTTTACTATAAAGTTGATGATACAGCTTTTTCACCTACTACATAAATTTATACAACCATCCATCATGAATACCATTGTCTTGATGAATTTTCTAGCAGTACCAAGGGATCCGTATAGAAGCCTATTTGTCATCAGAGGTCCAGCATTTTGACCCCGTTTACTAGAGGGGAATTACGACTATCAAATAACAACTGATACCTGAGGATACCATACTCCAGTCACCTGATGGACAACCCTTTGGAACTTGAAACATTAGATACTGTCAACGAGAACAACGTCGTTCACTGAAGTGCAAGTATATCCAACTGAGGAGTCCCAAACACGACGACACACGAGATGCTTGAAAAGTTCTGGTGATATACCATTTTAGTCTGTTCATTAGAAATATCACACAGTGAAACAGTAACATTTACTGGATCACGTTTTGGACATAAATTATTGTCCACCTGACATGAATGTGGACAGTAAATTATGTCCGAAACGTTATCCAGCAAATGCTACTGTTTCACTGTATGATATTTCTAATAAACAGACTAAAATGGAATTACACTCGACTACAGTGCCCAAGTTTTACGCTTATATTCTGGTGATATTACTGAAATTAATCAAAGTTACAAAAGTACTTTATCAACCCATACTGGTGTTTTGTTTCTACTCTCATATACTTTTATCTAATTCAGTGTCTCTGTACACTTTATTTTTTCTAGGCTATAGTGAATTTTCACAACTTCAACTGATACTATTCTGAATTCATACTTTTATCAACATTTCTATCTCTGTTGTTATCATGCTTTTTTTGATTGTACCAATTTTATTTATGAATAGTGTGTAAAAGGGGGTATTTTTTTTAAAAATAACTATTGATAGAATAAGCTAACTCACTTTGAAAATAGCCTTCTCATTTGTTGAACAAACACGTTTAGGTATTCGTATTGATAAGAATGGATTAAGTAATGGGGAGAGAAATAAACCACCATCCTGATTAATCCAAAATTGTTCCGTTTTATTAGAATTCACTAGTAGATAACAATGATTTAATTCTTCTGTATAAATAAATACTCCACCACAGTAATTTTCAATTTTATTCATAAAATCATATGGTTCATGTTCTTTTTGTAATTGATTTTGTATATGTCTATTTTTTCCACTTGAAGATACACATCTGCCCAAAGTTGATTCAAATGGAGGTGGAGATGAAGTTTCTGTAGTTAAAAGATTTTCTTGCCATCTGCTTGCCTTTGACATAATTTTACGAGCTTCTAACGGCCATTTTCTATAGTGAATTGTAGGTTGAACAACCTACAAACAATCATATAAAGAATCACTACTAGTAGCGTTGTAGATCTCTAAGACATTGTTGACTGTGATAAGTTTCAGGATAGTGTTCATGGACTTTCACCGGTTGAAGAACCATTAAAACTATGGGTAGCTAATCGCTCCAGGTATGAAATTCCTTTCCAGTGCACACCCACGACTACCCAAGGGACCGAACTCAGAACCCTTGAGCTTCGTAGTGACTGCGTTACCACTTGACCACTGGTTCAGAGCTCATCTGAAGTTATTAGTTGGCATCCACTTCACGTTCGACTTGGCCCGCCCCAAAGGTATTGACTTCTTATTAGAACTTTAGGATATCTATCTCGAGAAAGTATTAAGAATCTGTTGATCATAGAACTCAGATCCAGTTGGTGAATGGTTCATACGTTCACCAAGAGATACCAACGTCCCTGAGGTTGTAGTTTCTGCGTACTACTGAGGAGTCACATAATAGGATGAAACAGCTGTCCGGTACTCTCAGGTTTCCAGTAGTTCTCCAACTGATAACAGTAGGTGATGAATACTATCCTAAAATACATAAATCCTCACAAACTTTAGACTAAGATGATTAGTTTCTTTTTAATGTACCTATTTTTTATTGCAAGGATTTTATGACGAACCTTGAATCATAAAAAGTCGATTCAAGTAACAGTTAAAAATAGAACAGAGAAAAAGGATCCTGATTATCATACAATAAAGATAGTAAACTACAGGAGATACAGACGGTTAAAAATAGTAAGGCTGTCATGATTCGATGCAACATTAGGAAATAAATGCACATTGCTATTACTAACATCAGTCTAAAATTGTTTCATTTGAAGTTTCTAACTAACCAACACAGTTGAATAGAAAGTTAATATGTCCTTTCCATTATGCTTCATCCTATTGTTATGTATTTCAACAAAACACCAACTTCACGCAACACTACACTTTGACAAAAGTACGTATTCAGAAGAAGTGATGCATAGTTCACCCATCTGGGTTGATGTGAGTCGATAACCAAGTGAAACAATCCATCTAACTTAAAAACTGGCATCTAATAAAAAAACCGAAGTCCATCCTTGAAAGTTTATTTGCAAAAATAAACATATTTACCGAATAATGTTTCAGGTATAATTTATAATTCTTGGTCAATCAAGGTAACTCTACAACACATAGCTAAGACGCTTAAAGTCTTATCCTTCATCTTCCTATGTTATAGGAGTAGTGGGATATTTTTATTTTATTATTTGTCCCTTGGGTTCCTAGTGGAACATAGGGCTTCAGCAGCACGTCTCCATTCCACTCCGTTCTCTGCAATCTATTGAACCTGGCTCCACAACTGCCCACAATCTCTCATTTCTTCATCACACGATCTCCTCCATGTCACCCTTGCTTCGGACGCCCAACTTGACGTTTCCCATCTGGGTTCCACTCTAGGCCTGGCGTATGATGTCCTCGGATGGTCTTCTCAGTGCATGCCCAAACCATCTCCACTTACTTCCACTGCATATTTGTTGAGCAATAGGTTCTTGGTTAGTTCGTTGCCAGGCCATCTGAGCGTAGGATTTTTTAGATATATAAAATATAGGTCAAGCTATCTTCATTGCATTTGTATTGTGTTTATTCAATACTGATTCGTTTGTAAATCTCTCCCTTTTCCCATGTTATTTGCTATTAAGAATTCCTAATTTGTTCCACGGTACTACTTCCTTATTTGAAGACATTGGGGTTACTTATGAACTTAGGTGTAGTTTCATCTTACCATCCTCTGCCATACTTGATGCAACAACTCTTATTGGTTTGACTATCTGGATTCCAGCAGAATACAAATTTTAACTTTAGCATTCTGAAGACATCATGTAATCTGAAAAATTAGTTCTCATTCAGTTACTTAACACCGATTCTCAATAAAATGTGGGTGTTTTTATGCAAACGGTAAAAATCTACCCTAACAGTAATCAATCAGCTGACAAGAAGTAATACTTTTAGGATATAATTTTCTTGTGATTGATTAAATAAATTATAATGAAAGTTAATGAACAAATTAATTGTAAATAAAATAGGCTGTGAAAGGTTTTCAGACCTCAAGTAGATTGTTGTGTACTAAATAACCAACAAGCAATTCTATACATGATCTAATGATAGAAATCATAGAGTAAATATCAGTGCTCAAAGATAATACGTAGCGTTGAACTTTACACAAATTAGAGCAAGCCAGAAGGATCAATTTGCAAATAATATGCAAGTTGCACGGTTCATATTGACATTTGTCATAGGGGAGTAGTTCTTCAACTGCTTAACAGTAGTGTCACTAGGGTTTTCGTTGGAAACCATTGGCCAACCAAGGTCACAGAGTGTGATCTCTACCATGAAAGTATCGTGAACTATTTAGATAGCTGTTATCTAGAAAGTTAAATCTATACACCACTGTAAGTAGTTTCTATCAGCTAATGCTGCTCACTAGCATACTTCTTTAGTTTACGAGATCAAACCTTATGTTGTTAGATGGGTACTTTCCGAAGAGAACTTTGTTGATAACATAGATGGGCAGTTGAAAAGCTACTCAGCTGTGAGAAATGTCAACCTGGACCAAGCGATTCCTATATCATTTGCAAAGTCGAACATTCTATTTTAGGTATAAAAGTCTATGCAAGTCAGATAACTGGATTCAGGTGATCTGAGAAATTTGACTCTTTAATCTGAATTTGTCCCAGTATATGATTGATGAGCTTACCCTAAAACAGGCGATACATCTATCTGTTCAGTGTTTGAATCGTTCTCGTTCTAGCTGTCAAAAGCTACAGATCAGTGTCAGTGATTTCTAACTGTTCATACTATTCAGTAGTATATTTAGGTGGGTCCAGATTATTACATTTATATTCATTCACTGTTTACCCGTGATAAATGTGATTACTACCTGATATTATTACGATCTGCAGAAAAAGCTGTATGGTTTAAAACAACTATGTTGTTTTGGGTTTGTTCTTTATCAGAGTTTGTATTCCCAAAATGGTTCACAAATAAATTGTAACATGATATTTGTTAACATCTCAATCTGTAAGGTACTCAGAAAGAAATTAAACAGCTGTTGTTACATATCTTCTCGAAAAACTTTTTCATGAGTAGTCACTTTACCAACTATGATTAACTCATTTTTCTATTTATTTGCAAAAGAATTTTATTTGTTGTATACTTTACAATTTGAGCAGCAGCGCATGGCTAAACTTTTTTTATCACTTGAAGTCTTCCATCATGCATTACTCTGACAGCGCAACAAATAAGAGAGTATTTGTTTACTTGTAAACAATTTATGAATTAACCCTTAGTGTACTTATGAAGTTGTTGTTATCAACGCCCTACCTAATGGATATAGATTACTCACTAGCTTCACATCTTTTGAGGTGGCGTTTATGTCTTGCTGATGAATGTTTGCAAGCCTGAGAGCTATATTTAGAGCTACTGCCCACTTTCTTCTGACCTTCCTATTATTGTCAGTCAAAACATACTATTATATTATTATTATTAGTCCCTTAGGTTTTTAATGGAACATAGGGCTTCAGTAGCACGTCTCCATTCCACTCCGTTCTCTGAAATCTTTTGAACCTGGCTCCACGACAGCCCACAAGCTCTCATTTCCTCCTCGCATGATCTCCTCCATGTCACCCTCGGACGTCCAACTACAATGACAAATTCTCTATCCTGAAGACTGTACTGCATATTTACTGAGTACAATTCAGCAAATAATCATGACTAGACATGACATCGGTAAAATTCTGTTGATCAATCAAGATAAGGTTTAGATGTTAAATATTAAAAAAATCATTGATTACCGTAAATTTCTCCACTATTTGCCAACGATCGTCTCCAAGACGACATTGTAGTAAAGAAACACTTCTAGCATCAATTAAATTAGGAAGTTTTGGACGAAGATCACTGAAATGCATTGTATAAGGTGCTTTTCCTCTTGACCTTGAAAAACTTCTGTTGGGTTGACTACCATCCTGTGCTGCAGTAAAATAAATAATCAAACTAATATATATATGATTGTCAAGATTAGGCATAACTTTTTGATAATGAAAAATACTTGCAGCTCAGGAGGATGATTTTCACGGTGTTGTGTTCTGTGAGCTTATTCGTGAAACTCAGAGAATGCAACATCATTAAACATAGTTTAATTTGGATACTTGTGTGGATTTCTCGATTGATTTCAGGTTGGTATTCAGTTGAAGAACCATTGGAAACCTGGGACCACTGGATAGCTATTTCATCCCAGCATGAAACGCCTCAGCAGTGCTCACCCGTGACCTTACCAATGATCTGACCCAAGACCTTCAGGTTCCGTGGCCATTACATAATCACTGATCCACCGAGTTGTAGTCCGGTGATCCACATTTTCTACTACTATCGGTTCAAAATATGACCCGCGATTCATGTATACCGGATAATCCATGCAGTAATAAATAGAAATGAAATCGTTCACAGGTTACTGAGTTTTACCCGACTGACTATTCACTCAACAAGTTTCACGTGTACTTTTGAAGCTTCTTAAGGAAATCATTCATCGACAAACTATAAGCGAGTCACGTGAATTCTTTCAGCTTATAGAAATTCAGATGTTGACACACAATGCCTGTTCGATATTGTCTGAATAGTTTCATCTGTAGAATGGAATGCTTTTCTCCTAGTTTGTGTATCACTTAATCAATTCAATATCCTTAGGACATATTAATCGAATGATTCAAGAAAAGGAATACGAAATGATAAACGAAAATGTCTGTTGTCTTTTCCTGATCATTATCTTCCGTTTTGCTTTTCCGACGTACAAGGATTTTCTGATAACACTGTAATAATGATAATAATATTATTAATAATGGCTTAATTCCGAGGGATATTTCGAGAATACTCTACAGAATTTTAAGCATGTCATATGACATCATTTCGACAGTAACAGAGTATACGTATTATTATTTGTCTCTTGAGTTCTTAGTGGAACATAAGACTTCAGTAGCACGTCTCCATTTCACTCTCCTCTCTGCACTCCTTCCAACCTGGCTCAACGCCTGCCCATCATCTTTCATTTCTTCCTCATACAATCTCCTCCATGTCGCCACCCTCGCCTCAGACACACAACTCGTCCTTCATCATCCGGATTCCACTAGAGCGCCTGACCTAGCACATGATGTACCCAAAACCATCTTCTTCCTCACTATTTGTCTAGCCCAATCCATCTCCACTCTCTCCTGCATATTTGTTGGGCAACGAATTGTTGGTTGGTTGCCCGACCAGAGTTCTTTGTTGCTTATTCTTATTATTCTGACCATCTATCTAATCCTGTGTGTCAGTGTCGAGTGAGTGTAGGTGGCATCTGTTGATTTATGTCTATAGTTTATTAGAGATGGTTTGCACAACGCGCCGCCAAGTCTGTGAACCACTACATAGAAGCATTGACTCACTTGACTGATATTGGTGTTGAAAATCTGGGTGTTGTCCACGCTTTATGTTGAGTGTAGTGCAGTGCAGTGCAGTGCAGTGAAGTGGAGTGGAGTGGAGTAGATCTCTACACTGATTATTTCAGATTAATGAATGCAGGCCTATCTCACTGTCTTTCGGACCCTAGTTGCTTTGACATCCTCATCTGTGTCACCACTGCCCACGCTACCACCGCTTGTAGTTGGAATGATGCTGCATGGCTAGGTAGATGAGAGAGACAACTTGCTTTAGATTTCTGCCGTTGATAGTGACTGTTGTTATTTATTGGTTGGGTATCTTCATCACCTCCGTCTTCTCTACGTTCACCTGAAGTCAGTCGTGTCTTCGCTGCCCCGTGTCTTCCGTCAGCTTATCAGTTTATGCATGTAGATCATCGAGTTTGCGCCACAAGACAATAGACATAAATCATCATCTTCTAGGCTCTTTTCATCGATCAAACAGCGTATGCCCATCTTCTCGCTCCTCACGGTTTCTTGCATTATCCAGTAGACTACAATCAGGTAGGTCATCGGTGATGGTTGGCGGCAGCCTTGTCTTACCTCTGTCTTCACTTCGAAGGTATCACTGAGCTCAGTTTTCCATTGTGAGTCACTCGTCATGTGTTGTCCTCATATAGTTGTTGAATGAGAATGTTAAAGGTTTGCGGCACTAAAACCGTAGTGTTGAAGTAACTGCCTGGCAATTTACTACTTGGTCGACGCTGTCAAAGGCCTTCTCAAAATCGATGAAGTTGAGGTAGAGAGTTGACTGCTGTTCTATGCTGTGTTCTATGATGATGCGTGGCGTTGCAATTTGGTCCGCATATGAATTTTACTTCATGAATCCAGTCTGTTCCGGTCGTAATTTTGAATCCAACGCATCTTTGAGTCTGTCCAGGATGATGCGGCATAATATTTTGCTTCCAATCTGCAGGTAGCTTTCCTTCCTTCCAAGCCTTCAACAATAAATGTGTGACCATTTTCTATCTTCCTTTTCTCTCCTCTATCAGCTTTCATATGTCCGTTGAGATCCATTCCTTGTACTATCTCCTTTCTTCCTCCTTCCTGATTCGGCTATGCAGGTTTCTTTCCAAATCTCTCTCTAGGAGTTCCAGTGTTCTTCCATGGAGGTTTCTTCAGAGATGTTGCTCGATATCTCCCATTTTGTCCTGGTAGCTGACTTGAAGATGTGATTTGTAGTTTTGCCCTTCAGTTCAGTTTCCGAGTGGGCGTTGAACATGAGCTGTGGTCTATCACCAACTTCTTCGAAGGCTTTCAACCTAATTTTGAACATTCCTCGCACTAGATAGTGAGTGGTCTGAATCTACATCTGCTCCTTTTCTTCATCTTGTGTCAAGTAGGCTGCGTCTCAACTTTCTTCACATTGAAATGAAGTCGATCTGATTTTTAGTGTGTCGGGGCATCTGGTGAAATCCATGCTGCTTTATGGATATCCTTGTGTCTGTACACATTGTGAACAGTTTCTTGTTTTCTTTCAGGAAAATAGAAATGCAGCCAGCTGATTATCCAGGACTCAGTATTTGTTACGGTTAGCTTGTCCAGCAAATGTTGAAGTATAGCCTTAAAAGGCACACCTGACATACTTAGCATTGTTATCAAAACTATAAGCAATATCTTGATATAAGAGAGTAGTGGAATCCAAAGTGCTTCTTCATTCATATGCGAATTGATTAGGGTCTCCGAAAGCCTGTTTTAATTTTTTGACAAATAGGGTGTTTCTGAAGTTTTACTGGTTTCCTGATTACACTTCGCTTCACAATTATACCAATGAATCCCTGAGAATTCATGTATATCATAGTATATTTCATTGGTGACTTCCTAGTCCTTGACTACTCAAAAAAATGCTAAACCAACATGAAACGAGAAGTATTGAACTTTTATTGTTTGATTTCTGAATTACATATTTAACAGTAGAAAAACAAACAGGAGCTAAATTTGAGAGTCTAAGATGTTCAAGTGAACGGATAATTTTCATGCTTAAATGAAATTCATGACAGTTTACTTTGAATGGTTAAACTGAGGTGGCTGAGACACATCTGGTGCATATTCACTCACTTCCTACCTTAACGTGCTATGCCAGCAGGAGTTGGATTTAGCTGGAAGAAGGCTCAGAGTAAGCAGACCTAGAAAGATGTAACATCAGTTCATGAAGTCTCTGGCTATTGATCTGAACAGTTTAGAAAGGTGAAGACCACCTGGCTGGGATCCCCGTGACTATAGGAATCAGTGGTTGGATACCCTTGTTTCTTGTATGCAGCTGTGAAGTGTGGTAACTTTAGCCGATGCACTTATAAGCCAGGTTCTACGTTGATTTTTTTAATCGTCAGATGTATATTATGTGAATGAATGAACTTTTGGTATAGCGCTTAGTATTTACATAAATCTGTGAATAAATCACATAAGATGACGGTTAGTTGAGTTTACAAATTGAAAGATCTGGAAGCAGTTATGTAATAATTTCGGAATGATAATTTATCAATTCTTTGTGCCGTTCACTTCAGTTTGGACATTCACTGCGAGACTAAACAAGGTAATCGGTTGTACTAGATCACTCCACCTACAGAACGAAACATTATCAGAACTGTCAATCTGACTATAACATCTCCTTTTACCAAAATCCATCTATGTATCTTAGTTGATAAATGTTCAAAAATAATTTACATCAGTAATTTCGAATACTGTTAAAAATTTCAGCATCACCTCTGTAACGCACTTCGTAGATGTTAAAATTTTTACAAAAACAAAGATTACAAATCAGCTTACATGAACTTTTAGATTCAGATATTTTCAAACATTCTGGTGTCATAGTAATAGATGCTCCTGGATAAGACATTTCACGTGCAGCAGCAAACGAGAATGGAATGAATACAGCTACTGGTATTTTGAATCTCACAGGTGAATATAACATATGTATATCACTTGCCATACGCATATTTTGACCTAACCATGGTCCGATAGCCGCTCTAGCTGTGCTTGGGAAAGCTGTGCATAGAACTCGTTCACGACGTCCAGTAGAAGCCCCTGGTGGAATTTCGATTTTAACGCCTTGAAGAGATAGGAAAAGACCTCCATTCCTTTTAACAGCTACTTCTTGTTTAAGTGGACAACTCCTGTATTACGGAGAATAAAACAGTGAATCAAAATTTTACCGAGGAATGCAATGTTCCACTTTTATTGCTAATAAGTTATTAGTGAAATGAAAACGTCTCAGCAATCAACATTTCCTTTGAACGTACTTGGAATGCTGATTATATCTTTGATATAAGGAGACTAACAAATGTTATGCCTTCATCTTAAGTAAAATTCTAGGATTCAACTCGTTAGATATTAAATGCTAGATTGTAGGAAACCCTGGAATTAGGTTTTCTGCTTGTTATAACCTATGAACGGAAATCTGAGTATGTTTAGCATGCGTCTCACGTCTGCCAAAGATAACGCAATGCTCTAGGATTGGTCTGTACCCGTTTCTGTTTTAAGGATAAGGAGTAAATGAGTAGAATGCATCCACTACTTCACTTATTTGAGGAGTTTTATTAGTTAAAACGGGTTGAGTGCTGATGAAACCTCAGCTAGCATGCAAAAGGCCCGTTTAGCATTCGCAGATATGTGTCATCTGTGGCACCGACTAGCGAGATATCCGCTAATATATCAAAGGACGAGTATACTGTGATGTAGTTTGTTTTGTCCTGTTAGACGGCTGAGAAAGATGGCTATTAAGAGTAGATAATATGAAGCAGTCACGAGCTTATGATCATAGGTGCCTTTTTAGCAATGCTCCGATGTAGTGCAATCAGTAAGTGGGGAATATCGAGGTTATGCGTGGGGTACCAGGCAAGATAAGCAATTTCGTTGATAAGGTTGTTAACTCCCACTGAGTGAGATGGCATGGACATGTGTTGCGCATGGCAATCCATCACCTATCTCGAAGTGAAATGTTGGCAGAAGTAAGATGTGGCTGGAAAAGAGTTCAGGGCTGCTTGTGTGAGACGTGGAACTATTCCACGAAGTATGATAGGTTAGAGCCATGGCAACTTGAACCGATGCACTTAAGAACGAGGTTCTATGTTGATTTCTTGCGTTTCTCTGTCACGTAGGTAAAACTTTCCTCTCAAGTGTTAATGACTATTCAACGTAAGTCTTCTACACTTCATTAAATCATCCAATTTGACTTGTTTTTTAGTACAAAAGTAAGTAAATATACGAGTCATACATATTTGGCGCAGATTTGGTAGTTTAATAATTGGTAACTGAATAGTTTTTAGTCATCTGTACGTATAATTCCAACTGAATGACTGAGTGACTGAAAAAAACAACTTAGAGCATAGCACACAAGCGCATCGGTTCACTTTCCACACTCCACAGTGGTATACGAAGAATAGGTAGGTAGAAAAGAAATGATATCAAAGTAGAAAAAGTTGTATGACTGAGTAAACAGTCTGAAGATAAAAGTTGGTGTGAATATTCAGCTTGAGAAGATGTCAAGGAGTAAATACATGTGAACCATTGTGACCGATCTTCAGGTATGTCACTAAGAGTCCTCAATCACTTATTGGTTTCTTATCGGGGACCCGAATCAGGCAGTTCCAACTTAATCCAACTTCCCCATCATGGTGCATTGAGGTTGGGCGGTGGCTCGTCATGTGAAGTGCATGTCCGAACTGCCTCAGATGATTAAGGTTCACAACCTAGTCAATCAACTTCCCCACTACCCTTCTCCTGACTTCAACATTGCTCACATAATGGTTTTACCAAAAGCAATCAATACTACGAAGACACCAATGATCAAAACCCTGTAAACGCTTCATATCTACTTCTTGTAATCGTCACAACTCACAGTCATGTAACGGGAGAGAACGGAGTGCAAAGCATTATGGTCGTCCTTTGACAGATAGTTGAGTATCTCACCAGTCGGCTCCACAGATGACTCATGTTGGCGGATGCCAAATGAGTCTTCTGTACCTGATGTGAAAGTTCGTCAGCAACCCATCCGTTCGGTGGGTTGATGCAACTGCCCAAGTAAGTACAGTAATCAACACATTACACCACTTTACTCCCTTTCATTAAGCTGGGAGTCACTGCAGACCAGTCCAGGAGTATCATGTAACATGTAAGAAGCGCAAAACATATGTCAAACATATACAGATTTCAGCTCAACACATTCGGAAGACCCTGCATTTCGTCGGCATTCTCATGTAGTAGAACAAATCCTCTGCATACTCCAAGTCAACCCGATGACCCTCAGGGAGTAGGTCATCCCTGTGAAGTCAGACGTACATACGGTTATGTTCATTAGTACGTCTATGACGAAGTTAGATAATAACGGTGACAATGGATATCCAACAGAATATATAATCGTATTTTCTCGAAACGGAAAATGAGCTAAAGATAATACCGATTTATGATAATCTTGGCAACTAAATATTCTACATATAACACTGAAATTTCATTCAGTTTATTACTTAATGGATTACTAATGAGATTATTTCCTTATTTTATACTTTATTTCATTTATTTTTTCCTTTTTTAATATGAAATGATCATTTAATAAGCTTCTTGTGTCAGTTGTGATGCAGTTCTTACTACTACAGACTGGCATAAGGGATGATAAAAGCTTTGAATGATATTGAGAGAAAAACATGAACTTGATGAAAACCACAAAATGTGGTTTCGAAAGCTAATTAGGCATATGTACAAGCAGAAATGACACAAGTTATTATTAATGAGCACAAACATAAATTCTGGAGTGACAACCATTAAGATAAATTAATAGACAAACAGCTCGCCTGCACTAACGGGAATCGACTGAAGTTTTACAACAAAATTAGGGAAAAAACACCGATGGAAGCAGACAGACAAACAGAAATGCCGGACAAGAGTGGATAGTGAGATAAATTAACAGAAAATGATGTAATGTATTTTCGAGATGAATGGGGTTTTTAATTAAGAGGTAGTATTTATCACGAAGTGATATCAGTTGGAGAACCATTGAAAACCTGGGATGACTGGACAGGTGTTTCGGTCTACTATGGGACTGCTTGGCAGTATGCACCCACGACCCGGCTAGGGATCGAACTCAAGACCTTCAGGTTTCATGGTAAACGTGTCAACCATCCAACACTGGGTCGATTTTCAGCAGTTCACAGTTTCTGTTCATCTCAAAAATACATTACTTTATAGTGCCCATTAGTGACATGCTTCTAGATGGATATCATGAAGTGGAGTCAACTAGTCGGAATAGAAGCGGATATCAACCGAAGACCATAGGTGATAGTCACCATATGTCGTGAATGGACAGAAGTTAGGAACTTTGAACCACTGAAGACCAACCCAGTGGCTAAATGGTTAACGTGTTCGCCATGAAACCTGAATATCCTGAGTTCGGTCTGTAGCCGGGTCGCGGATGCGTACTGCCGAAGAGTCCTACACTAGGACGTAACACCTGTCTGATAGTCCCAGACTTCCAATGGTTCCCCAACTGATGTCAGTCCGTGATGAATACTACCTTTAGAAAATGATGTGTTCAGTTTTAAGAAAAATACATCATAGAAGACACCTATGCCTTTAACGACTAATTTTCACAATCTTAACAGTTTTAAAAATATTGCTTAGGTAAAAAGTAATTTGTTTCGTGAAATGCTTCAATTTCTTGATGGGGTCAGCTCCAGTTCTACTTAAATAGATCCTATTCTTAGTAGTAACATCTTACAGAATACAGCAGTTTCAGAATGATTTACTTCATATCAAATTCAATTTTAGTGGAGCAGGGGCCTATCGGTTTACGCACTTGACTTTCAACTAACAGGTTACGAGTTTGAACACTGCTTTACCTATGAATGTTTAGGCAGCCAAATAGTATCGCTGGCCTCCACACAATAGGTGTGGCTCATCGCTTTCTGCGTGAATGTGCAATTCACATTCATTTAGATGTGTAACTTGACTACCTATACGAGAACTGATATACCGGTGTGTCTCAGAGTGTAGCCATTCACCTTGTTAAACTATCCAACCAGTGTCAATAAAAATACTTTTCTCAGATTTATTTGAAACTACCTACAAGGGTTTCATTTCCTTTTAACACTATATTTTGTCTAATTTTTGTATAGAAATGAACAGTTTTCTAGAGATATGAAAAGTTCTTCCCGTTATCACAAGTTTCATTTAAAGTTGAAATGATGACTTGCATAGATAACTGTTTACTTATGTTTTGTGAAAGTATGAAGTGTTCTCATCTCACCTGATAGAGTGTACAACATATGTCAAATTTTCAGTTTCATCCTTAAAAAATAGCAATAATTTTTTTCACTGAATATTAGATATCATTTTATTCATTGTTTGACATTGCATCAATTGGACTATATTTTTCTGCAATACTGACTACTAAGAGTAGAGTATTCTGTACAGCAGTACACTCTATCGTTTAGTATCCCTTGTGAAACAACCATTAAAGGTAAAGGACATGGAAAGACTTTAGATGTTCGACCACTATAGTCTTCGTAGGTTTGTATGCCTTTCGTGGAATCAGGGGGTTAGTGATGCAGAGATTAATTACAATTTTAAACAGAAAAGTTGATTCACTTTATGAGGCTGTATACTTTTATAAACTCAAGTAGCTAGGACATGTATATGGCATTCTTATTCACTGTCCACTCCATCACGTAAAGTTGGTTGAGGTTGGTTAAGTCTAGCAGAATGTTAGAGGTGACCAGAATAAAACATAACACTAGTCTATGAAGTATGTAACCACTGGTGTAAGGTGTGTAGATAAAAGAAAAAATTTCATGTTATATTCTACGTGACAGCTAAAGTCGACAGCTGGAAACAACAGTTGACATGACCAGGAGTCAAACTCACTGGTGTAGATACATTCATATATCACCTACAAACTAAAAGTTAAAGCAAATTTCCTTATACTTTTATCCGCCGCCGTTTCTTATTTAATGATTTTCAAGAACTTTGGTTAGACTTTCCTCATAGTTTTCTCTCAATTGTCTGCCTTGTATTTTTATTCACTGATATGACATGTGGGTACTTGCGAATTATATGCATGTAACAATGAAGCATCTAGTAAATCAAAACATATATCAGAGAAGAAATATCGTTAAAGAGAAATATTTCTTCACTGATGTATATCTTGACCTTATTCATGAATAAATGGCTATGTTTCATCAGTCTTTTAATAAATCAACTAAAATGGGGGGTTGTGGAGATTTGGAAATATTTCAAGTTGTTATTCATCGAAGACTGACATCAGTTGGAGGAACAAAGGAAATCTGGGAGCACTGGACAGCTGTTTCGTCCTAGTATGGGACTCCTCAGCAGTGCGCACCCACGACCCCACCAGCAGGGATTACTTTCTAACAGTGTGTCTAAGTTCCACACATTTTTCTGTATTTACTGAACTCAGGATAATAATAATGTCAAGAGATGGTAGTCACTTTGTGGAAAACAAAATTTTAATCTACAGAATCCGTTGAATAATGAATGAAGTTACTTATTTCAAGAAGCAAAGTGTATAAAATGAGTGCTTACTGACAGTTTGATGTCGATTAATTCGAGTGAACGGTCACTTAATGATAATCACATTTCAGTAAGCTACGAAAATGATTTTGCACAAATTTGTCTTGGTTATATTGTGTTCTCTGAACTGAGTTGTTTAATCATGGAGCAAGCTACTTAATCATTCACGGAGAGATATTCACAGCTCACTTCAAACTGAAATTAGTGCTGATGATGTCTTCTAGAAAGACCATGAAAGCTCCACAATTAAACAATACAGCCAAGACCATCCACCTGAGTTACAAATATGCTTCACTAGCACAAATTTGTGTTAGGCATTCAGACAATTTATGTTTTGGGGAGCAAAACGTCCTTACTATTAGACGTAGCAGGAGTTATCCTTTGCGTATCTTAGGTAAACCACATATAAAAATGTCTTAACATTGGAAACTAATCAGTATTCTGTCACAAAGAAGGACGTTTATATTACGCTACCGCATAAGTAAGAATCAAAGAGCACAAATTTAAAACGAAGGCTTATTTCAATTCCTAAAAAGACTTAGTGTACATTCACGTTCATTATTATAGGGGAAACGAAACCCAGGCTTCAAAAGACCTTATCACTACGTAGATGATTACGCCACATCCCGTTGTGTATACCAGTTTGCATGTGTATGTTGGGGGGAGGGGGAATACATTAGGCGGCATAATCGAACAAGGTAGTTGAGGATGGTGGGAAACAAACTAAGTAAATAAGAACAATAAGTAAAAACTCGAGACGGATAAAAAAAATACGTGGAAATCAAACAAACAATTAAAACAGTGATATCGTAAGTTTTTGAAGGGTCAAGAGCAATATATGATAGCATAATAATACTGATGATCCCGAAGTTTATCGCTTAATGTTTCTATCCATCCAAGTCAGTACGCTATAAGTATTCGCCATATCCTTGAAATAAATAAAAATTCAAATACACTCACTCATTTTTTGGATCGAAATTAATTATATCCGCTACTAATCCACATTTTCTTCGTTCTTTTCTCAATCGACTAGAACTCATTTTTCATCTCTTCTCATTTGTTTTAGTTCATTGTAAAGACTTTGTACTCCGTTCAAATTTGATCATCTCATTGTCTAATCAATAAGTAATAAATTTTTCAATAGGAACTGAAATAACATGTAAGTGAATGAATAAAAATGAAACTCTTCTTTTCTCTAATCCATAAAAACAATTTGATGCATCATATTACAGTACAAAATCATAGAAGTCTACTGTTTCCTCTCTCTTCTGGTAATCTTTCTTTAAAGTTGTTATTATGATTATTCCAACTGGTGAAATCAATACAGTGAATCAATTTACTGGCCTATCACGTTATATATATATATATATATATATATATATATATATATATATATATATATAAACTTTATGCAGTGTCTTAAGATGTAATCAAAATAGCCAATAAAACTCCTTAGATTGGGTAATCAAACTAAATTTCAACAAAGTTAACTCAGTTATAAAGGAAGAAGAGAGAGTTATATATTAGTCTTTAAAAAAAACGTTTTTTTAAGTAGGAATGTTATTCAAAAGTAGACTTTTTCATAAAGTACTACTACTCAGTTGATCAACGTCATATGTAGTTAAAAATTAGTGTTTATTATAAGATAATATGATGTAAAGTGGAACACCTGATTAATTGAAGCATTAATTTGTCATCTACCAACAAAATTCGATGATTTCAATTCTAGTCTAACAACAACCAATTACAAGTATCAATAAATAATGAACACACTACTGGCTACTCAAGAGGTGGCTGTCGTGTCTAACGGATTACGCTCTGATGTTTAAAGTAATGATGAATAACCATACAAATTGAACTATCCACATAGGATTCTATATGCTGACAGAGGTCGATCGTTATGACTCAGTGCAACAAAAGAGTTACATGATTTATTTTTTTATTCTTTGTCCCTTTGGTTCTTAGTGAAGCACATCTCTATTTCACTCTCTTCTCTGCACTCCTTCCAACCTGGCCCCACACCTGCCCATCATCTTTCATTTCTTCCTCATACAATCTCCTCCATGTCACCACCCTCGCCACAGACACACAACTCGTCCTTCATCATCCGGATTCCACTAGGGCGCCTGACCTAGCACGTGATGTACCCAAAACCATCTTCTTCCTCACTATTTGTCTAGCCCAATCCATCTCCACTCTCTCCTGCATATTTGTTGGGCAACGAATTGTTGGTTGGTTGCCCGACCAGAGTTCTTTGTTGCTTATTCTTATTATTCTGGCCATCTATCTAATCCTGTGTGTCAGTGTCGAGTGAGTGTAGGTGGCATCTGTTGATTTATGTCTATAGTTTATTAGAGATGGTTTGCACAACGCGCCGCCAAGTCTGTGAACCACTACATAGAAGCACTGACTCACTTGACTGACATTGGTGTTGAAAATCTGGATGTTGTCCACACTTAATGCTGAGTGCAGTGCAGTGCAGTGCAGTGAAGTGAAGTGAAGTGGAATGGAGTGGAGTGGAGTGGAGTGGAGTGGAGTGGAGTGGAGTGGAGTGGAGTGGAGTGGAGTGGAGTGGAGTGGAGTGGAGTAGATCTCCACACTGATTATTTCAGATTAATGAATACAGGCCTGTCTTGCTTTTCCGATTCCGACACATGATTTATAGCGCACATATGTAAGCCTGACTGTCGTTTTGCATTTGCGAAGGCACAATTCTTATATGATGGAGTTGAATTAATTGCAACTGTATGAATATGACTACCTAACTCATTTAGAAACCCCGTCGACAGAATTTCTGTTAGTAGAGGATACTTTATCACACTGATGTCAGATTGTCAGTTGACTGACTGCAACGGTATTCAATAACATGCGATATTCATTTTCAATACTCTAAGAATAAACAGATAGTGAAAAGTCTATCTGGAATAAAACCATTACAACCATTAGAGAATACATCACTGACAACAAATCAGTGCATAAATGGTGTTCTTAATCCTCCAGTTACGTCTCTATTTTTCCAACTGCAGTCATTTTCGTACTACATAAAGCAACTTAAAAATAAATTGATCAAGAGTCTTCGTGCCGAATGCGTGCAGTAGTGAATGGCAAAAGCAAAAAAGATGGTACCCTGATAACCTTTCATGATACGTGGCCTTCAGAAATGTATCAGTTGACCAGCATCCAGCCTGAAAATGAATGGGACGTAGATGTTGGTCCGCCAGCTCTCTTTGGAATTGAAAACGCTTTATCGAGTACGAAGCGATGCAAAGTAGCAGGACCTGACAGTTTGCCACCTGAGGTTTCCAGGGGAATTTCTAATTAAAGTGATGGAGATGGTAGATTGTGTATAGGAATCAGAATTATTGCCATCAAACCGGTCTACTTCTGTGATCATGAACGTCTGTACCACATGCCGAGCCGTCCCCTATCTCGACTTGCCATGCTACGAGAAGTTGAGTTAGTTTTAGAGAGGGTATAGGGTGGCCAGAATATGGTGTACTACCAGTCCATCAAGTTTCTGACTGTCGGTCTAAGCCATATGGGTGGACGTAGACTGCCAGGCTGGAGTCCTTGAGATTAAATGAACCTGTGGTTCAGGACTCTTTGTGGAATGACTATGAGTCGGCCACAATGACGCAGACGTTTTCAATCTTCGATGTATTTTACTGCCTAAGTGTTTTGACTAACCTTAGTTTTTAAATTCACTCTCCCTCCATATACCTCTATGTACTTTGATATCAGTCTTCTTCTGTCCACTTGTTCTTCACGTGCTACTGTGAAGCGTGGTAACCTGGACCAATACACTCGTGTACAAGCTTCCACATTGATTTTGTCTGCCTCTCTGAACCTCTTTTCTCCAACTCCAGCTATTGCCAAGTTCAACAAATGCATGATCACTTTAAAAAATAAGATAAATGAAATGTAAAACTTTATCAGCAAGAGGAAAGATTATTATTATCAATATCTTGTTCACAATGCAAACTTGTATCCTTTTCAAAACTATCTTCTTCCTCCATCTGTAGAAGTGGGATATGCTTTCAAGAATAACATATATCTCCAATCAGTTCAAGAGGAGTCAAAAAACAACTTCTAGCTTAATGAACTCAATCTGTATGTCTCCTTGATCGTTTAAAGTGCACCTTTCAGAGTCGGATGACTGAGGTCATTGAGGCATCTGAGTGTTATGGTTAACGAACGTCTAGCTCAAAGTGCTATAAACTCCTAAAGAGAAATAACCTTAGGGAATAAGTATGGAAACAAAACACTGCTTTACGAAGTCTTCCATTATTGCTTTGGAATATACATCTTAACTCTTCCTGATCAGGTTCTAAGAAATGTTCAAAATTTGTGATTGGAAACATGAAGTGCGTCAACGTACGGCCTAAAAGTCCAGCTTTACAGGAGTAGGTGAACTGATATATGGACACTGAAGTGGCTAGCAGTAACAGTTTGTCCTTCGTAAAGATGTCCACCACCAGCTGACCAGTACAGGCTATTTGCAGAGTGGCTGCATAGGATATTCTTTCGACAGCCTTCATTAGTCTGAGCTTAATTACTTCATCCTCTACACTCAAGCCCAAAATTTTCTTTCTTTTCTCCATATTGACAATAGACTGATAGGTAGTATTCCGATGTATATTTCCATGTATGAATCTTTTCGAGTATCCCTTCGCGATGAACTTTGACGTTAGAAGTTAAAAGTTCGGCTTCATTAGTGTTGGAAGTACAAATCTTCCAAATTCGAGAGGAAGGGGAATCGATTTAATTACTTTTTCAGCTAATGGTAGTCTATTTGTCCATTCCACGTAAGTTTCCAATAGATGGATCGTATGAACGTTTCATCATCTCCTCTTGTTAACAATACATAAAGGAATGATATCTTTGATTATGATTCAATCCCCCTATGTAAAGTTGATAGAGCAGTTACATTCATTGGAAAACTAAAGGACTTCTTACAAGTCACAATTCTTGTCACAAACAATGAACGGTATCATCGAAATATCTTGTGTAGAATTTAAAATACCTGATAACTAGAGTGAGTGTGACTTTTTCCAATTTTCTCGTAGATATTTCTTCTAACAATGAACCCATTGGTGATGTCATTGCCACTCAGCCTCTTGTATGTAATTTCCATTCCTGTATGATCTTCATGACATCATGTCTATTAACTCTACTTAAATAAGATTGTATAGTTGAAGATAAATATGTTCGTTGAAGTTTTTATTCTTTTATCCCTGTCAAACAACTACATTGTTTATTTCTACTGAAGTTCAATGTTCTAGCTTAGTAGAATAAGGGTTATGCAAACAAAGAATATAGTTTGAATGTTACTATTTTCCTTGAATTTCTTCTATCAATCAAAATGATCAGCAAAAATGTATTTCGTTTCCACAGTGACCATTGTTCCACTTCATCTATGGACTGTCACTAGTTGAAGATTTTTTCATAACTAAACACTTCAGTCGATAATGTTATATTGTTGTTCTCTTGTCAACTGTTATTTTCAATTTACTTTCTTCTTTCTGTTGTCTTATATTATAGCTAAAGTGTAGTAGGATGCTGAACGACTTTGTTAACTAGTTAAGATTGATTTTAGTTAGTTCTGTATGAATAAAAATCCCTTTTATCAATATTTAATTATAAAAGCAAGTCAAAAAAGTACTTTTAAGGAAAGAATGTGCAGTAAATTTGTTTGTTTGTGTTACTACTACTGGATTTACTATACACTAAGTGAATATTTTATCACTAACCGACTAGGAATGTCATTGGATTGATCCTAGTATCGGTACAGCTATGGAGGAACAAAATGAGTCAACAAAAAAATAACGCTACAATGTACCTTTTCTCTATACTGATTCAAGTTATACTCATCAAAGGATATCATGCTTTAAGACCATTCCATAAGAATAGAGGAGAGTATTGAAATACCAGTCAACCCGAAGAAAACGATAACTTTGCTTTATATTATTATTCAGTTGAAAAATTAACTCAAAAATCAGTTTATTGTCAGGTTCTATTACATTCTTGATGTTGGACTCTTGAAAAAAGTAAACTAATATCAAGTTTCTCCGAGAAATAATGGTCAGCATGACGAGTAAACTAGGTTTCTATCTCATAAGCCACTACTTCATATCATGTAAACAAAGTCGGTTTTTTTTATTCTATCACTCATATGATCTCCAGTTTGGAGATCTTCTGCACTCAGCATGCGGAACAAGATACGGATTTTCAACACCAATTCAGTCAAGTCAGTGCTCTTGTATGGTTCAGAGACTTGGCGCGTCACGAAAGGGATTTCCAATAAACTACAGACATTCATCAACAACTG